GTGTTTTGCCCAACTCGTCCCTTTGGCAGACCCGGCACTGAGCACATGGGGTTTCTTCCCCAGAGCCCTTGATGTTGGTCATCGCATGAGAAGTTCTGGATTAGACTCTCCACCTCCTGACTCGCTCCCCACTCCCTCTCTCTGTCCCACCTCTCACCTCCCATTTCCTTGCACTGGTGGTCCTAAATTGTGAAGTACAATGTAAAGTGAGGGGGGGCGGGTATCAGAAATTTCATTTAAACACGGATTTCTCCATTCCTTGAAGATTTGACCATAGCTGCTAAGGTGGACCACCAGTGAGAAATCCGTGTTTAAATGAAATTTCTGATACCCGTCCCCCTCGCTTTACATTGTACTTCACAATTTATAAAGCACTTTCTCATTCTTGGAGGTCCTGAGGGATGCACATGGCTGATGTAAGACCTGGGAGTGTAGGGGTCGCGACCCCCCAGGTTGAGAACCGCTTTCCTAGAGGGTTGCTGTGACTCCACCTGGACTCCATGGCGGTGAATGAGTGTGTTTCAGCTACTGATCAGAAGGTCCACCCAGAAGAACCTCAGAAGAAAGGCCTGGTGATCTACTCTGCTCCCCACCCCTCACCCCAAATCAGTGTGCAGTTCATCCTTAACACACGTGGGGTCGCCATGAGTCAGAATTGACTTGTTGGTAACTGATTTTGCAACCTTATTCAATTCAGACAATGCAGGGGAGAAAGTCTTGGGACCACTTCTTTTTTCCATCCTCAAAATTAAGGGCAGGGAAACTTTTTCCTGCCAAGGGCCATTTGGATATTTATAACATTATTGGCAGGCCAGACTAGTCAAACATTTAATGAACCCACCCTAATATGATGGCTGGAACTGCTTGTTTGGGGCAAGGCTTGTGGTGTTAGCTGGTATTGATGATTTCTCAGGCCTTATATGACCCGTGAGCTGATGGTCTCCACCTCCGTGAGTCTAAATGATGGTAGCTCTGTGGCATAGTGGTTATGTGTTGGGCTGCTAACCACAAGGTCAGCAGTTTGAAACTACCAGCCACTCTGCCGGAGAAAGGTTTTCTACTGTAACGAGTTACAGTCTCAGACCAGGCTTTCCACTCCTATAAAGAGTTGCAGTCCCAGAAACTCATAGGGTGGCCCTATCTTTTCCTATCGAGTCCCTATCAGTGGGAATCCACTGGAGGGCAGTGAGTTTGGTTTGAGCTTTTGGAGCCCAAGGCCAGTTCAAGCAGGAAGTGGCAGGGCTGGAGCCCTAACCCCAGTCTTCCCTCTTCCCCCTACACCATGGACAATGCACGGCTTCCCTATGGCTAGCAGCCGGGGCACAGGACAGGGGAAAGAGTTATCATGGCTAGGACTGATACCCCTGACCCTGAGGTCCATGGAGGTGGAAACAGGGAAGCCACAGGATGCAGAGCAAACTTAAGCAGCAGACAGTCCATGGTGCAGAGCCAAGTGTGGGGGCCAGTAGCGGTGTGCTGGATTGAAATTCTGCACCTGAGAAATGGAAAGAACCATTTGCACAGATTTAAAGAACGAGGGCCTGGCTTGGAGTAGGTGCACTATACATGATCGCTATAATCACGCGGTGACTGCACATTGGCTTGCCAGCTACAAGGCCAGTAGTTTGAAACTACTTGCTATTCTGCAGGAGAAAGATGAGACTTTCTACTCCTGTAAAGAGTTACTGTCTTAGAAACCCAGGGGCAGTTCTACCCTGTTCTGTAGGGTCACCATGAGTCAGAATTGGCTCGATGGCAGTGAGTTGGTGTGTTTGGTTTTTTTAAATGATAATAATGTTATTATTGTCCTGCTGAAGGAGGCTTGGAGATTGGTTATGAGTACCCAAAAATGGCTTAATGATTACTGATTGTTCTTAGAACAGGTTAAAAGAAAACTTTTAAAAGGCTTTTAAAAGTGTATTTTATTGTATCGCTGGTGATACAGCAAATCCGGTTCCCATTTAACAACTCCTATCACTTTATGTCCCATGAACTTGGCTACATTCCTGTGTGGACACTTTCCTTATCTCTGTTCTAGTTGGCACATTCCCATCAGCTCATCTGGCTGCCTTTGAAGTTTCTTATACACTTGGACTCAGACTGATACTTTTATAAAAGAGCATAGTTCTCAAGGGTGTCAATCTTTACTTTTTGAGCTAACATGTTATTTGGTCAAAGGGTTCCTCTGGGAGCTAGTTTGGTTCAAGGTTTAGCGTATCCCAGAGCAGTAGACTCAGGGTCCCTCCAGTCTCAGTAAGTCCAGCATGAGGCAATGCTTTGAGAACTTGAAGTTCTGGTCTGCCTTTCTCTCCCTTCTACAGCATCCATCGATTTTGTCTCTGATCAGAATGTTTAGGAGGGGCAGCTGGGCACTAACCAGCTGAAGCGCTTGTTCTGGACTCAAGATCGAGGAGGCCCCAGTTCATGCAGGCACTTGGTCCCACAGTCATGGATTCTTGGGTTTCCCATTTGTCCCTTTTGCTGTGGACAAATAGAAACCAGTGGTTGTATCTTAGATGGTTACTTGCAAGCTTTTAAAACCCCAGGCACCTCTTAGCAAACTAAGATGTAGAACATAAACTTTGTGACCTATATCATGGAAACTGACTGAATTGTCCCATGAGACTCTGACCCTGAATTCTCAAACCAAGAAAGCTAATCCTTTGAGAGCATCTGTAATCCCTATTTTTTCTCTTATTCATACATCTATCTATCTATCTATCTATCTATCTATCTATCTATCTATCTATCTATCTATCTGTCTATCATCTATCTACATTTCTCTTGGTTGTTTCAAAATGATATATAAATATAACTTTTTACCAATACATCCTTTGTCTTGTGTACATTCAGTGGCATCATTCACGTTAGTCAAGTGGCACATACTTCCCCCAACTTTAGTGCTACCTCTCCCATCAACAGTGACTGCTCTCTGGAGAATAAAGCCCCTTCTACTCCCCACCCTATGCATACCCCAGCAACCACTGTGGACCACTGGGCTCTGTATAGATACCACTATTCATGTTATTTCCTGAAAATGACACTGTCCTTTGGCGATTGACTTTTTTGGCTCAGCACCGTGTCCTCCAGGTTCATCCACCTTGCATGCTGTTTCAGGAATGCATCTTTGTTTAATGACTAAAGTCAGGGAAACTTGGGCTAAAAGCTGGAAACACAAAGAGATCTGGGTTCATTTTTGCTTTTTCCATGGAGAAAGCTGTCTGTTAACTACATAAGGGGGCTTCAAAACACTCGTGGAAAAATTCCACTCCTTTTTAATTCCTGATTCTGGTTCGTGGTTTAACAAGCAGTCTAAGGGTTCAATCATTGACTAGTTCTGATAGCTCCCTTCCCTCCCTCCTCTCTTTCTGCCTCCTGATCTCAAGGGTCATTGGTGTCTAATCAGGATTAACAAAGCTAATACGGGATGAGGCAGCCAGGCATCTTGCTGCTCTAAATATTTCCCCCCCACGTGTGTGGACAACTATCCCCCGTGCTCTGGCAGAGAGAGGCCTGCTGCAGGACTTTCAGATGCAAGGAAACGAACCAGCATTAACATTTGAAACCGATGGTTCACTTTCCCCAAACAGCTCCTCAGAATTAAGGAGATTCTCTTGCATTTAGAATCTAGAATAAAGTTGGCATCGAGTTTTTGAAAGCACAGAGCAATGTGTGTTTCCAAAGCCGTGCTCACTGGCTTCGTCCCCTAGGGTGTGTTTCTGAGAGTCTGAGGACTCCCTTCTTGCCCAGGATGGCTGCGGAAGCGCAGGTGATTCCGACAGAGTGGGCCAGAGGATAACAGACTGTGAGGTGGTCCAGGCAAGTGATGGATTAAGAAAAAAGAACCGGAGGGAATCTAGAGCCGTCCCAGACTGAGGAAGCAGAGAGAGGGAGTAACAGAAAAGGTCGTCTGGAAAGAAATGTGGCTTTTGGGGCACTGTGCTGGCCCTTGGGAGAAAGGGTCCCTCTGACACCCGAGGCCGCCCTCAAGGTGAAGTGCGCCAGATTGACCTTCTCCAGAGATCTGGAGGGATTTGAAATCCCAGACTTTAGAAGCAGATGGCCCAGTGAGAACTACTGCTCAATGAATTACACACTTAAAAACGGTGAAAAAGACACACGTTTGGTTAAACACACTGTAACCATTATCTACAAGGAGGGGAGGAAAGGCAGGGGTCTGCCGAAATGCCCCTGTGTTTCTCTCCCCGGTATTTATTGGACCCCCATGGTGTGGCAGGCATTTTTCTAAGTGCTCTACCCCTGTTGAGGGGTCTTGGTGGGGTCGCCATTAGACATTGGGCTGCAATCCGCCGCATGGTCGCAGTTCCACCAGCAGGTCCTCGGAGAACAACTGGGCTTTCTATCCCCGTGAACAGTGACCGTCTCAGAAGCCCACAGCGTTTCTCGATGGGTCAGCATTGACTCGACGGCACCGAGTTTGGTTTGGAGCTTCTTGGCCCATGTTCACATTAAGTAGATTATGCGAATCCCCCATTTCCAGATAGAAAGCCTGGACCCAAAGAGGTGAAGTGATACGCTGAGGTTCACACAGCTAGGGTGATCTTAGCCATTATGCAACGCTGCCTCTTAGCAGCTGGGCTATGTTTCCACCCTGGGAATTTGGGAGGAGTGTAGGTCTGGGTGAGGGGCTGCATTTGGCTCCCTTAAAAAACAAACCAACCCAGTGTGATCACGTCAATTGTGATTCAAAGTGATCCAGAATAAAACTGCCCCTTAGGGCTTCTAGACTGTCACTTGGGAGCAGACAGCCTCCTGTTTCTCTCGTAGAGTGGCTGGTGAGTTTGAACCGCCAACCTCTCTGTTACCAAAATGACGTTTAATTCCCTACATTCCCAGGACTCCTTTTAGGTCACGAGATGGAGGAGTTGGGTGGGACTCCTTTCTGGGGGCCCGCTGGTCTGTCCCTTGCATGTGGCGCATTCCAGAGCACGGTCTTTGGTTCTGTGCTGCTTTGGCAAATGTGTGGATGCTTCTTCCAGAACAGTCATTTTTCGGACTACATGGATAAGCGCACTGGATACACCACCAGGAACCTGCTGGCAACCCCGATCGTGATGGGCAAGGAGGTGCTTGCTGTGGTCATGGCACTGAACAAAGAAAACACATCTGAATTCCTCAAACAGGATGAAGTGGTAATGCCGGCTTGGGGCCGCCAGTGGGAGATGGCGGGATTGTATTTCTTTATATCGCGGAAGGAAAGAGGTCACAATCACAGTTTGCTTTTCTCTTCCATCCATAGGTCTTTTCCAAATACCTCAATTTTGTTTCCATCGTCCTAAAGCTGCATCATACCAACTACCTGTATAGTGTGGAGTCCCGAAGAAGTCAGGTAAAGCAAGGTGCTGTTCACTAAGCCTTGCTCATGTGTCTTTCCAAATGGGGCCCGAGGCAACCACTGCAGTCCCTCCTCTGTGCTCATGCGGGTTGGAGTCCAGGAAGCAAATCCCCCAACTTTCTTTCATGGGGGTCTGCTCTTGGTCTCCCCCTTTCCCACCATCCAATTTTCCTTGCACAAAAGGATCTGACATCAGGCTAAGAAAGTCCACTTGATGCCCCACCTCTCACTGTGCAGTGAAACGACTGGTCTCAGGAGTTCATTGCGAGCACTACTGTGCTGGCAGGGAAAGGAAGTCCCGCAATGATACTGGTGGCCAGATACTCTATTTGTGCGTGTAACTAGCTTAGCTTCCTTTGGGTATGCCTGGGTTCTTGGTTGATCCCTTCACCCATGAACTAGTGATAGTAACAGTAGCACCTGTCTCACCTAACGGTCATGAATTAGTCCACATAGCATGCTAGCTATTAATTTGAGGAGCAAGCCACTCTTCTGAAGCCAGTTGCCTCCACAGGGCCGAGGGAGAAAGAACGCAGGGTTGCTAACCAGCATACCTAAGGCTGGCCTCCTCTGGACCTCCGTTTTCATCAGTGCAGTGAAGCGGGGAATCGGGATGGAGGACTTTCAAAGGGTCTCCCCACTCTAACTCTGCAAGTACATGTACATCTGACTAGCCCAGGACAGGAGCCCTGTTGGCACCACAGTCAGAGTGTTCAGATGCTCACCTAAAAGACCCACCAGCAGTTCCATAGGGGAAAGATTTGGCCATTCGTTTTCATGGAGATTACTGCCATGGAAACTCTATGGGGCTGTGAGTTCCACTTCGTCCTTCGGGGCACTATGAATTAGAATAGACTAGATGGCAGTGCATGGAAGGAGGCATGACATTCTCTACCTGAGAGTGGCGAAGCCAGTGGGCCAGGGGCCACCTCCTGCATCTATTTCCTAGAACTTCACCTTTGAAGCCTAAATATTTGGACATGGGAGCTAATCACAGCTTCTCCTCCCACTTCACTAACAGGCTGGCAAGTCATTCCACTTCGAGAATTTGAGTCCTTTGTTGGATAGAGACATGTCCAAAATGGATTTGCATTCCGAGCAGTCTTAAGAATTTGACACACCTCAGATTTTCGTCTAGCAAATGCGGTGCGGCTTCAGTGGGCTGCACTGTCTCTTGGATGTGCATTTCCTCCTAACAGCTCTCTTTTTCATCCTTGCTCGCAGATCCTGATGTGGTCAGCCAGTAAAGTATTTGAAGAGCTCACCGACATTGAGCGGCAGTTTCACAAAGCCCTCTACACAGTTAGGACCTATCTCAACTGTGAACGATACTCCATTGGACTGCTGGACATGACCAAAGAGAAGGTCCTTTCTGTTCCACCGACGTTGACTCCCCTACACTCACTGATGCATGTCACATGACCTGGATAAGCCAGGGAAATGATCGCTCATGCCAGGTCACAGGAACCAGTCCTGAGAAGGCATGGCACTGAGACAAAAACATATAATTTGAAGCCAAAAAAAAAAGAACAGAATTTGACTTTGCCACTGACAAGAGTTATATGTTAAAAGGAGCCTTAGTGGCATAGTAGTTACTGCACATTGGGCTGCTAACTGCAAGGTCAGCAGTTCCAAACCACCAACTTCTTCAAGGGAGAAAAATGAGGCTTTCTACTCCCATAAAGAGTTACAGACTCAGAAACCCACAGGGGCAGTTCTACCCTGTCCTATAGGGTCACTATGAGTTGGCATCAACTGGATGGTAATGAGTTGGAATTTTGAGAGTTATATGTAACAGCAAAGTCTTTTTTCCTTTCTGATTCTTGGTTTCCTCATTTGTCAATGGAGACTCTCTCTCTTTAGTTATAAGCATTAGAAATATTTATGTAAATGATCTGACACATCATAGGTTTCTGTTAGCAAGGAGGATGGAGAGAATGTATGTTGGATGAAACAACCAACAGCATTGACTAATCTGTGTGATCTTGGCTTTGCTTCTTAACCTACTTGAATGTAGCTGAATTGTTTATAAAAGAGCTGCTATAGACTGAGGACTTTTACCTTTAATGTATCAGGATAAGTGTTTCCAATGTGTTATTCACTTCATCCTCATAATGACTCTATCCTATAAATCCTACTTTTATCGCTACTTTTAAAGGTAAAAAAATTTATTGTTCATAGTCACAAGTTAATAAGCAGTATCTCCGGGAATTACAGTTCCTTTCCAGCTCTGAAAAGCCTAAATGATATACTTGACAATAAAATGTGAAAAACCTATAAGGTTCACACAGCGTAGTGTTATAGAACAGTTTGAATAGAATAGGAATAAAAAAATATATATATATAATGTTAAATATAACCTCTAGGGAATATACTGCTAATATAATGAATGATATTGTAGGAAAATGGAAACAAGAGATAAAATTAAATTTTATTTCTTTAGCATGAGACGATATAAATAAATAGAATATTATTTCATATAACATGAATGTAATTACCTTCTACAACATAAAATTTTCTGTTTCATTTTAGTTTTATAGAATCAAGTAAGATATGATGCATGAATAACATGCAATCTTAACACATTATATTGAAATATACTTTGGAAATGGCATAATTAAATAAATAAGATATTAAATATTATCTCCTCCAGGAATTCTATGATGAATGGCCAATCAAGCTTGGAGAAGCTGAACCTTATAAAGGCCCAAAGACACCGGATGGCAGAGTAAGGGACCTTGATGATAACTGTGTGGAATCCAGCTGCCAAGGACGAGGCAGTGATACCGACAGAAAGGAGTGCTGGCTTAGGAAGCCTGTGTTGTCGTTCTAGAACTTTCTGTGGAACCCTGGGGATATGAAAGAGCACTAGGCAGGGAGATTGAACTTTCTGTGGAACCCTGGGGACATGGAAGAGCACTAGGCAGGGAGTTTGAGGTTCAAGGCCCAGCTGTGGCCCAAGCCAAGTGGGTAGGACGCCCCTTCATCCGTCCAATTCCTTTCCTCCAGTGCTAAGGCTGGGAGATCAGTGGTTCTCCTTGGAGGAGAATCCCTGTTTCCTGTGCAGCTTTTGAACACAATGGTGCTTTCACCTTTCTACAGAATTGAAAAGCAGTGGTTGGGCTAGATTTCCCCCACCCTCACCCCCACCCTCGGGACCTGGCTTCCTCGGCTCACCATTTACCTTACATAGCACACCGGAAAGGGACAGTCAGGAGATGAACTGTGTCCAGGCCTCAAATTCTTCATCTGCCCAGTGAGATCGATGAAAGGACGAGCACTAACCGAGGTTGAGAAATTACGCTATTTGCTCAAGGAAAGTGATCGCCTTCAAATATTGCTGGAAAGGCATCCATTAAAAGTAAAACCAAACACATCGAGTGCCTGGGAGCTAACCTTGCCCCCAAAAGTTGTTTGGTTGAATTCAACCTTTGAAAACTAAATTTAGTTAAACAGGCTCGTGTCTATAGGTCAACCATCAGTAATAGTTCCAGTTTAAGGATAAGCTTGATAAGTTATGCTAAGTAAAAAAAAAAAAAGGTTGGAAGACATGAACCTACTTAAAAGAGTTATGAAATGATGTCTTTTTAAAATTTAACACTTCATTGTGAAATAGATGAGGTTTACAGACCAGATGGTCAGTTTTACATTCAACAATACCCACATGTGTTGTATCGACTCCGCCATTGTAATCCCTTCCGGGTGCGGCCACTTATTTTGCTCTCTCCCTGTTTCCTGAATCTCTTTCTCCTTCTTACCCAACTCTCTGAACTTTGACCTTCGGTAAATGGTGCCCCTTTGATCTTACATGGCTGCTATTTATTTATCTACCCCAGGGGTGGGCTCAGGGCTAGACCTGAAGGGGGGATTGCAGGGCCAGGGATGTCCCTGCCTCTTTCCAACCAGTATGGTCTCTTCTTGATGTTTTTAAAGCCTAAATTCTTCAGTGAGAACCAGTTCCCTAGGGAAACCACATTATACTCATCATGTCTCCTTCCCCTCCTAGGAAATTATCTTTTATAAAATCATTGATTACATTTTACATGGGAAAGAAGAGATCAAAGTGATCCCGTGAGTATTGAAATGAAAGGGTGGCATAGGTTGCCATTTCTGTCTTGGTGCGCAGTGTGCATTTGTCTGTGTAACAATTCTTTTGCTCTTCCTAAAGGACACCTCCTGCAGACCACTGGACTCTTGTTAGTGGGTTGCCTACCTATGTTGCTGAAAACGGATTCGTAAGTCACCAAACTCATTCACATTTTAAATCATATTGCATGAAAATCTTGCTCATTAAGAAATTTATATATATGTATATAGTGAAAGCAAGAATGAGCCATTTAAGGATGAGGTGGTCACGTCCTTTGTCTCAGGAGGAAGGCGAATCAAAACTTGGCAAGTGTAGATGACCCGAAGACCTCCAAACTCCAGATGCAAACAGTCCACGCGAGAAAGATTCCTTCCCTCAACTTCGTAGTCAGCAGCCGCACCAATGTCAGCTGCCCCTGAAGGCAATGATTGCACTTCAGGCTGGATCTAATTCTATCCTAAGCCCAGTCACCTCAGTCAAGGCCTCTGAAGCATGGGGAAGTTACTGAAAAAGAACACAGTAGGAGAAGCAGGAACTTGACCATTGACTGCAGTAGAAAATGTACTTAATTGAAAAATGAGTGAAAGACTGACTCTTGGGTCGGTTGGAGGGAGCCTGGCTAAGGGAAATCAGAGGAGGAAAGAAGTCAAGTGGACTGTGGTCTTCCCCCAGAGTCTCTTGGGCCAGAGAACCAGGGCCCCTGGAGCTACCTACTCAGGCTCAGCCATATCCACTCAGCGGTAGCCATACTGCCTTTTTTTCCCCCGGGTCAATTTCTCTCTCTGGTGGGGCTTCTCCACTCTGTATGGAGATTATTGGCACCGAGATCCCTTGCTGCAAGAATGTCCTGTGGCCTCAGCATTTCTTTACGTTGATGTCTTTCTTCCCCTTCTCATTCAAACTCCTTAAATATACTTCACAGCCTCCATTGATTGTATTTCTTTATTCTTTCCTTCTGGTTTGGGCAGTTCTCATTTATCTCCATTATGCACAGAAGAACCAATGTGAGCCAATGACTAACAAGACTCACCCAAGAACCCACTGCACTAGAACTGCCCCATAGGGTTGTTGTTCCAGCCAAAGCTGGAAATCTTTCTCCCAGAAAGTAGCTCATGGGCTTGAACTGCTGACATTTTGGTTAGCAGCAAGCTCTATTCCACCACGACTCCCACCTAAGGGAAATAGGAAAACGTTTTTAAAAATAGGTCGTCTGGTGTTTTTAAAAAACAAAATTGTCAATGTTTCCAAGACGTTGCCTGCTGAAAAGTGCTATGAACTTATGTTTCTTATACAATGTGGGTGGAGCCCTCGTGGCATAGTGGTTCAGCGTTGGGCTGCTAATTGCAAGGTCAGCAGTTCAAAACCACTAGTTCCTCGGAAGGAGAAGGACAGACTGGGCTTTGTACTCCAGTAGCAGTCTCAGAAACCCAGAGGGGCAGTTCTGCCCTGGCTTACGGGGTGACTATGAACCAACATCCGCTTGATGGCAGTTGAGAGCATCCAATGTCTGCGGAAGAAGATTCAGTGTTTTATTAAGATCCATTTGCTGATAAGGCCAGAAGCTCAGATAGTTCATAAGGATTTAAAACTTCCTGATGGTAGTGAGTTTTGACGGTATACAATGTTGGCACGATGTTTGCCTTTATGAATGTAAACAATCATCCGCATTTTATTCTATAAGTGTAGTTAAGAGACTCGTTCCCCTTCCCCTGGTGCCTAGCACATCCTTGTAACCTACTTCACCATCTGACAAAAACACACAAGGGAGCATCACCACCTCCCGCTGCAGAGTGAGTTGCCTTTCAGCTCAGCCTCTCCCTCTCCTCCGCCTGAACTGCGAATGGCTTTGATTTGAAAGGGAACCCTTCATCGGTTAGGGGAGAGGGAAGATTCGGCTAAGTGGCACTCCATGACTCAGTTTGCAGAAAAGAAGCTAACTTCACTGAGTTGTTGGCAAACCTGACCTCCCAAGGTCCCAGGTGAATAACAAGAGCCATGTGAAAAGCCCCTCCCCCAGTTCCCTCTTATTCCATTTTGTGGGTTGACTGGCTCCCCCACAAGGGTTTCAGGACTGTGTCTGCTCTTGCTTTGCAGATTTGTAACATGCTGAATGCCCCAGAAGATGAATACTTCACGTTTCAGGTAACAGCTCCCCTTCCTGGCCTTTGGGGGGCAGCACTGCTGAGACTCTCCCTTCTATTCTGAGCTGGTCTCGTGCTCATGTGGACCAGGAGACATGCATGCAGCTCGGGACCCAGTCACACTGGCTGGACCAGTGGCCATCACATAGCCGATTGGTCAGGGAAGGGAGAAGAGGTGGAAAGAGGAATTAAGAGGAGACACAGGGTTTGCTACCCAGCCATGGAGATGACCACTTCTCTGTTCTCTTTCATTCCTGGTCATTTCGTGGTAGAAAGAGCAAGTGTCCTTTGGATGAATGGCTAGCTGGACACTTTCCCGGTCCTCAAATCAGCCCTCCGGCGGTTTCCTCAGCAGCCGGTCCCACAGCTTACTGTGACTGTTCTCAGGAAAGAAAATCGTTCTTGCTGAGCCTCTGGGAACCTCTCCTGTGCTTCCAGGCTCTTGCTTCTAGTCTTCCTGGAGAATCCCCACCTGCTCACGATCAAGTGAGCCCCAGAACCAACACCCCTGGATTCCCTGGCAATAACTGGCCCACTTGTGGTCACCTCCACCACTTTCACCTTGCACTTCACGACAGGACCTGGAACTCAGACCTCCCCTTTCCAAGATCAGCCAGTCCACTCAAGGGCGAGCCCGTCCTCTCACACCTTCTCCCCCACCAGACGGTCGAAAAGGAAAACTGGTCTTACAGTTCCAAAGCCTCTTCTTTTCTGCCTTCTACTTGCTCTGTGTCCTGTGTTTAGCAAGTTTCCAGTGGAATCTCTCATCACTGCCAAGGGCCATGCTGCTGACAGTCAGATCGGAGGCTGCCCTCCCCAGGCAGGACTGATCATGCCTGTCTTTCTGTCTCACAGAGACACACATCTATGTCTGGTAGGAAAAGCCAGTAACCTCGGGGTGCGAGGGGTGTATCCTTGGCAGGAGAGGAAACCTGTGCGTGCTTGCTTAGTTACTTGGGACGCGTTTCTCGGCTCCACCTGCTCATCCCTGTGCTCACGCTCATGGCAAACACGCAAACACCATCTGGTTACATGTGCTCCTGTTGCTTCCTCTTGCGGCCAAAGCCCACCAGTGACCACAAGTGAAGCCAACCCTGACCACTAGGGCATGGCAGTTCGGAGCCAGGGAAGGATGCAGAGGCAGGAAGGGGGGACACTGACTTTTGAAAGGGGTGGACCTGACACAGGTCTTGTCTGAACTTGGAGTGACGCTAGTCCAGGAAGACCCAGGCATGCTCTTTGAGAGTTGAAGGGCCCTGCTTTCTCTGGGGTCACACTGGGGCTCCCTTAGTGTTCTGATCACCCTGGAAGAGAGGAAGCTGGGGGGCCTCAGGGAGTCCGCATTTGGGAAACCCTTCAGTTCATGGGAAGTTCTCATGCCCTATGACCCAAGGACACCAAGGCAGGCCCATTCCCGGGAGACTCCTGGGCTCCACTGATGGGCAATGTTGGCCCAAGAAATACCAAGCAGACCTTCAAACTCTTTCCAAAATACACAGGCCAAGATGCTTTCACCCAGCCGTCTAGCCTTTTAAATTTTTTTCCATCTCAGCTTGCGCTGTGGTCTGCTGCCTTCCTGTAGCCCTTCCAAGCAGTGCCCTGTCGGTCATTCCACCAAGCAGACTTGGGTCATTCCACCTCCCAGACCCATCACTCTCCTTCTGTGCTCTGCCTTTCTTGTCTGTATCTGCTCAGGTTCCCCCTTAGTCTCCCTAGTCCCTTGTGTACCTAGTGGAAAACCAACAAGCCACGTGAGCGCCTGTCAAAATGAGCTCATCTGCCAATGAAGTGGTGCTGGGGCCACAGTGTATGCTGGTTTTCTATCGCTGCGGTCACAAAGGATACACACTGAGTGGCTTCCTGCAACAGAAATGTGCAGACGACTGATAGTTCTGCAAGTCAGACAATTTGTCTTGGATGGACAAGTTGGCCTCTGAGGTAAAATCCAGGTTTTCGGAGAGCCATGTTCCTTTCTGGAGGCTCTAGGGCAAAATCCGTTTCCTTGCCTTTTCCAACTTCTGGAAGCCTCGGCTCATGACTTCTTCTCTCTTCAAAGTCAACAGTCACAGCTGTCTGTCACCACGATCGCCTCCTTGGAGCCTGACTCCACTCTTTTCCACTTCTAAGGACCCTTGTAATGACACTGGACTCACCTGGAAAATCGAGGCCATTTTCTCCCTCTCTCTGAATGATCTCAACTAATTAGCAAGCTTAATTCCATCTGCTACTTTAATTCCCCTTTTCCATAAGTAACATAGTCACAGATCCCAGAGAATCGCGTGAGAACATTCTCGCGGGCCTTATTCTGTCCACCACAGCACCCCTTAAAGTGAACTAAGGGGCTACGGTCTTCCTTTTACAACAATTAAGGTGAGCCCAGTCCCAAAGGGGGAAAAATATGAGGGGACTTCCAAAAGTTTGTAGAAAAATGGAGTTGGAAGATAAGGGAATTTCCCCACAAACTCTGAAAAGTCCCTTTGTATATGGAGTTTTCTCAGTTTTAAGTTTCTCTTCTATTAATTTTTAACTCTTAGGTCCCTCTATCACTTATCTGTCAACAAGCTCTTAGCTAGTGGCAAAACACATGAACAGGTAGCATATTAACTATTGAAGACTGAGAGGTAGTTTAGGAAAGCTTAGTTTTGAAGCCTGTTGAACAATATGTGGCCGCTTGTGGTTGTAAAGTTATTTACACAATTGCACCATAACCTAGTTTCTTCTATTGCGTCTATCCCTAGTCCATAGGATGGTCTTAAGTATGTAAATGTATCTCAGTATTTCTAAGGATGACCAAGACCTCCGAATGCCTTTGAGAACCCCTGTAGGCTGCATCTTTTCCTACACTTTGACCACTAACCAAAACCAATTTCCAAGGATGTTTCCATCGTGTGTGTCAGAGGGGAACTGTGACTCATAGATTTTTATTGGTCGATTTTCAGGAGTAGACAACCAGGTCTTTCTTCCAAGTGCCTCCGTATGGACTCAACGTTGAACCATTGGGTTCGTAGGGGAGTGTGTGTGTTAACGGTTAGAACCACCCAGAGGCTCTGCCTTAGCCTTTAAGTGCAAACCAAACCCATTGCCATTGAGCTGATTCCCACTCATAGTAGCCCTGTAGGACAGTGTAGACCTGCCCCCAGCGGGTTTCCAAAGTTGTACTCATTATAGGAGCAGACTGCCACATATTTCCTATGCAGTGGCTGGTGAGTTCAAACCAAGGACCTTTAGGTGAGCAGTTGAGAGTTTAACCACTGCACCATCACAACGCTTCTCTCTAACCATGGTTGTTAGACACCATTGAGTTGGTTCCGATTCCCAGCAGCCCTGTGTGCACCTGAATGAAATTTCCCCACCCTGTACCATCCCCACGATTGTTGCTAGGCGGGAGCCCATTGTGGCAGGTGTCAATCCATCCCATTGAGGGTCTTCCTCTTGACCAAGCATGGCGTTTTTCTCCAGGGGCAGGTCCCTCCTGATAATATGCCCAAAGCTCAGGAAACGAAAGTCTGGCGTCTAAGGCTGTCCTTTCACCATTAGAACACAAATACCAGGGTTTAGTTTTTATGCTTTTCATTCCGAGCAGAACGCCTAGATCTTCAGTGAATAAACAACTGTTTATTGAGGACCTATTATTTGCCCAAGGAGCCCTGGTGGTGCAAAGGTTAAGTGACCAGTGGCTAACCGACTGGTCAGCTCTTTGAATCCAGCAGTTGTCCTGTGGGACAAAGATGGGGCTATCTGCTTTCTGAGAGATGTACACAGGACACCCTTTGGGCTGTTTGACACTGCCCTATATGTTCTATATGTCCTATATGTTCACAATGAACGCGATTCGACGCCACAGCAGTGGGTTGGTGTTACATGCCCGCACTGGTCCTGGCAGATAATGTGGAGTTTAACAGTTTCTGCTTTTGGGTAAAGCTTCAAAAATCCCCTCAGAGACAAAATAAACAACTAGGAAACATCTAGAAATACTTTAAATTGTGAGGTCTGGGCTCTAAGAGTTGTTGGGGCTCGGAGCATGGATTGCATATGGTCTGGAAAAGCTAGAGAGGGCTTCATGGAGGACATGAGAGCAGCAAGCGGAGCCTCTCGGGATGCCTACATTCTCTGTGGGCGGCAGAGGGGCATCTGCTGCGGTGCACGGAGTGCGTGGCTCCTGCTGGCTTGGCTGCGTGCTGTGCAGAGCTATGCCACAGTTCTTAAACTTCAGAGGCCATTTGACTCTCGAGGGAGCCCAGAGACTATCAAACAAGCTTTACAAAAGGTCTACTGCAGGTGGTCCTGGGGCCACACCTGTAGGAACCCCCCTAAACCTGTGTGTCGGTCTTCCCCGGTAGACTGTGAGCATCATGAGGTCAGGCCTGCCGCTCAGTCATCTTTATACCGCCAAGCAACTAGCTTACTCTCTGCGACATCAGGGGTTTGGCCTACGTTTGCTGAGTTGATGCACCATAGCACACTGGCTGTCTTGGTGGATGGATCAGCAAAACAGCAATCGCTCTAGATATCTCCAAAGAGAATACTGGATCAGAAAATAATGAAGCAGTTAGTCGAAGTGGTGTCATTAAGATGGGAATCACCTCCCGCGGTCATTCCGGGCACCTGCACCCCCAACCTCGGCGGCAGAGCTAGGTGACAACTTCTCCCCCTATGGGTGAAGCACCCAACCCTAATTACAGGGGGCCCGTTGCCCCCTCTGCACAGAGCTTTAGCACAAGCACGACCCCATCCTCCCACTGACTGCCCAAAGCTCCTCTCTTCTCTCCAGGGACCTTTATGAAGACCCTCTTTTCCATCACCACCCTGACTGGCAGCGGAGGGAGTCGAGAGGAGAGAGTGGTGACTAATTCCTGGTATGGCAGTGGGTGAACCAACTCACAAAAGCAAATTCACTGCCACGTAGTCAATTTTGACTCACGCAGCCCTACGGAGTAGAACTGCCCCTGTGGGTTTCCGATGCTGTCAATCTTGATGAGCGCTGACAGCTTCGTCTTTCTCCCTGAGGGTGGCTGATGGGTTCATAACTGCCAGACGTGTAAACCACCTTGTACATCTTGATTACAAGCAAAGATGATCTTTTCTCTAAATTAAAAATGAGGGGGCTGGGGGTGGGGATGGTTATACGTGGTAGCACAAAAGAGTGTTGGGTGATAAAGTAGAATAGTTCTGTATAAGTCGGCCCCAGTGCATGCAGTCTTACGTATTCATCAATGAAACACAGCCAGGACCTCCATCGCATGACCATTGGCACGCTTTACCCCAGTGTGCCACTCGGTCTCATGAACGCTTTTGCTCCTGACCCTCTGCTTTACCAAAGGTGATGTCTTTCTTTAGCCACCAACTGGTCCTTCCTGAGGATACCATATATTTTCAAGTATAAGCCAACCTGAGTATCAGCCAAGGCACTTAATGTTACCACAAAAGCTGCATTAAAAATGTGTTGAAAAAACTCAGCTTATGCACGAGTATATACGGTGTGTTCCAAGCCAGCGGGGTCTCACCGTCCTCACGTCCAAGGAGAATCCTGGTTGTATCTCTTCTAAGAGAGATTTGTTCATTCTTCTGGGGGTCTAAAATCCATTCCATATTCTTGGCCACAAGTTGAATGCATCAATTCTTCTATCTTCCTTCCACGTCATCCAGCGTCTCCACGGTGCACGACCCCTGAAAAGACCGTGGCTTGGGTGAGGCACACCTTAGTCATGAAAGCGACGTCTTTGGTTGTCAAGTGTTAACGCGGTTTTTGGCAGCAGATTTCATTGATGCGATCTATCATTTGACTTCCTGCCCCGGCACATATAAAACTGGTGAAATCTGACTAAGCTGAGTGGATTGTACCAAGGTCAATATCCTGGTGGCACTTTTTATATATGGTATATATATTTTTTAAAAAAACACTTTCATGTTGTTGTTACTACACAGCCAGACATATACTAGTATCCCTCTTTCTGCATGGACAGTTCAGTAGCATCGATGGCATCCTTTGAAGTGTTCCCCCATTTTCACCCCACTTTTCTGAGTTACTCCTCCCCCGTTCACACAAAGATTCCTCTTTGCTTTTGTGAGTTCCTCTTGTCACTGTGATCCCCATACAGATAGTTCTTAAAAGAGCCTAATGCTCAAGGCAGACATTTTTTTTCTAGTTAAGTTCAACTCTTATTTGCTTTTAAGAAGACCTCAAGGGATATTTTTAGTTTTAGGCAGTACAGGTTATTTCAGGGCAACAATTTCAGTTGTTATCCAGCCCTTCCCTCCAGGAAATCCGGAGTCCATAAAAATGTGAAATTCTGTTCTGCATTTCAACCCTTTAGATTGAAATTCTTCTAAAACACCTTTTGACAGGTGTACTACTTATTGACAGAAATGACAACCATCAGCTTTGTGATTTTTCCATTATCATTAGCACACCTTCCCTCGGCTCCCTCCCACCCTGGTAAGCATTCATAAACTTGGCTCACATTTGCCTTTGCTTGTCTTCCTATAGAAGTAAAGTCATTCAATATTTGCCTTGTGGCTGGCATAGTTCATTCAGCATGATGCCTTTGAGCTCCATCTATTCACTAGCACATATTCAGACGTCATTTCGCCTTCTTCCATTGTATGTATGTGCCCAATTGTGTCTCCCTATTCATCTAATAATTGGCATTTTGGTTGTTTCCACCTTTTGGCTATTGTGCTGCCATGGACATCGATGGACAAGTTTCTGTTTGAGTCTCTGCTTTCAAGGTTTGGGGGCCACATACCTTGGAGTGCTGGGTCAAATGGTTTTTTGATTTTCAGCTTTTTGAGAAACTGCCACACTGTTTTCCACAGCAGCTGGACGATATTATATTGCATTCCCACCAGCGTGGAGGGGGTTCCAATTTCCCCTGATCCTTACCACCATTTACTACTCTGTGCCTCTTACAGAAATCTTAGCCAGACAATCTGCTTGTGATACTGTACTCTTGTTACACAAGAATGCTACCGCAGGAGGAAATTGGGTAAAGGCTACCCAGGAGCTCTCCCCATCATTTTCTCCTTCAACATCTTGAGAATCCATAATTAGTTCAAAACCTAAGTTTAAAAACATAACCTAAGTGACATTATAATTTGTAGAAAGGGCCCGTGGATGAAACTGGCTGGGCCATTCAAAACGTCCTGTCCCTGCCCATTGTCAACAAGAAAGAAGACATTGTGGGAGTAGCCACGTTTTACAACAGGAAGGATGGAAAACCGTTTGATGAATATGATGAGCACATCACTGAGGTAAGCGCGACAATAAAACAATGGCCGGTAAGTGGCAACAGAGGATGCATAGTCATGCTGTTATGCTGGAACGATTGCTTTGAAGGGCAATTAAGAGATGAGTCACACACGGTTGCAATCAACATCGTGTCATTTCTGTTCTGACTTCCAGGAAGTGTGAAATCCTCCACCAAAGTGGGCAATTTGGACTTCCCCACCATACTAGGAAAACTGGGAAGGATGTGCCGCTCCTTTGAACTGTTCTCTGCACCTTGCCCTTTCTAGCCCCTCTCCTTTTGCTCTGGCTCCTTCTCTGTCTGATTTTCAGACCCCGCGTTATTGATCCAGACATTGGCCATTCCCTTCCCCTAGTAACGTATCTGGGGTGGATGTGTGATAAATGCTGACCCAAATACTACATCCCAAATTATTGTGACCAGCTAGGAAAGGGAACCAAACTCAAGCTAAAGTCCCATTGACCTTCTTCAGAGGGGCACAATCCGTTACCATGTCTGGAGTTTCAAGTCTACCCAGAGGCAGCTTAGGAAAAAGGCCGGGCTACCTACTGCCAAAAAATGAGCCATCGAAACCCAACAGGTCCCAGTTCTACTCTGACACGTGGGGTTGCCATGAGCCAGCGTTACTGGGACTGACAACTGCCGTCTGGTTTTCAGAAGCCATAATTCTGTAACTCACTGTATATGGATAGGCAAAACTATTCCTTCTGGAGGTGGTTTTTCCATTCTTCCTGTTTCACTCTTTCTCCATGTTACCGCTTTAGTAGCTTCAACTTCCCAAATCTCTTGTGATCATTCCTTTCCTAAACTTGTTCTGGTTTCTATGGAAATGGCTGATGACAAATGATCCACGGAAGATAATGTCCAAGAAAAGGAGGTTCTTGAATGAAAGTCATTGAGAGCGAAGGCTGTTTCAGGTTACAGGCAACAGGCAGGGGAGGTGCTTGTAACCGGGTCTAGTTCTGGGGTTTTCGCGTTATTTTGTGCATCAGAATCGTGGGGAGATCTTGTTAAAACTGCAGATTCTGACTCACTAGACCTGTAACTCCAGTGGGAGGGAGGATTTGAATTTTTAGCAAGCTCCTGGGGGAAGCAGGTTCTCATAATCTGAAGACTACGCCCAGGAAAGCAAAGGCCTAGTGAGTCGAATTGTCTGTGTTGAATATTAATACACTTTTTCTTAGATTAGATCATGGTACTGGGTTGTTAAAGGAAGCCTAGTGGTGCAGTAGCTAAGTGCTTGGCCTCTAACCCAAAGGTTGATGGTTTGAACCTACCAGTTGCTCACAAGAGAAATACAGAGCAGTCTGTTCCCATAAAGATTTACAATCCTGGGAATCCTACGGGGCAGCTCTAGTCCTATAGGGTCGCTGTCAGTCAGACAGCAAGTGGTTTTGAATTTACGGTTTTGTACGTAGTGGAGTACTGTATTGTAGTGGTGTGAAGACTGATTGATAGGAATGCGTGTAGCTGTTGGTCAGTCTTCAGTTAACTTTAAAGAATCTGAATCGCCTTGTATTCTTTTCAGACTCTCACACAATTTCTTGGATGGTCTCTTTTAAATACGGACACCTATGATAAAATGAATAAACTAGAAAACAGAAAAGACATTGCTCAGGAAATGCTCATGAACCACACCAAAGCTACTCCTGAAGAAATTGAGTCTATATTGGTAAGTGGGAAATTCAGTTCTGTAGTCATTAGGTGGTGGAATCTAACCAGCGGTTCTGGAATTTACCTACTTACCAGGGGTCTGATCAGTGAGCAGCAATAGGCTTAGTCCTGGGCTATGGCTCCTCTCCACAGAGAAAGTGGATTTAAGAGAGGACCTGGGTGGCCTAGCATGCTTACTGCTCTGTTGGAATGGCACCTGAATCTGTAGAAACTAAAGAAGTCACATCTAGATTTGAGATATTATCAAGGATTAAAAAAAATCCAAGGAAAGGAAGTGCATCGGTAAGCTGTTGCCGTCATAATGCTGCATAAGAACCATCGCATTTCACTAGCGCTCAGCAATAGGCACCCGTTCCTCACTGGTTCATTTCTGGGTTGACCAGGCTTTGCTCAGTCTTGGCTAGGCTTGGCTATAAGTCATGAGTGTGACCTAGATTTCCTCTACATGTTCTCATCCTTCTTGGACCACCTGTTCCATGGCTGACATTCTACTCATGGTAATGGAATCAAGCCACAGAGTAAACCCAACTGTGTCAGCACATTCAAGTCTTTGCTCCCAGCACATTTAAAAAAGCATTTTCATTGGTCAAAGCAAGCCACTTGTCCAAGATCAGCGTCATGGTTGATGAGAGAGTAAGTGGCTATTTGATAACAGGACTTCAGTCACCATAAATGAAGGGGAAATGTCATACAATCTCCATTCTTTTCATTTTGCCAGCTTATAGAATGTGTGTGTAAGTGTGCTTTTGTTGTTTGCTTTGTTTTCAGTCGGTTTTGCTGGGTGGTTTAAGACTTAGGATTGATTTGAGTTTCAGATGTTGATGAGAAGAAAGGCTTGGGTGGTGGAGGGGAATTTCTATAAACTAATAGAAAAGCTGGCCTCTATGGAGAAGAATAAAGTATCAGGATTGGAGGAAGGCCTATTAACAACCTGAGGTATGCTGATGGCACAACCTTGCATGCTGAAAGTGAGGAAGACTTGAAGCGGTTTCTGATGAAGATGAAGGATTGTTGGCCTTCGGTATGCACTGCAACGCAATGTAAGGAAGACCAAGATCCTCACAAGTGGGCCAATAGGTAACATCCTGACAAATGGAAAAGAGATTAAAGTTGTCCAGGATTTCATCTTGCTTGGATCCACAATCAATGCTCATGGAAGCAGCAGTCAAGAGATCAAACAAAGCATTGCATTTGGGTGAATCTGCCGCACAAGACCTCTTTAAAGTGGAAAAACAAGGGTGTTACTTTGAGGACTGTGTGAGTCTGGGTAGACTAGAGAAACAAATCTGTGGACACACACATGTGTACAAGAAAGAGATTTATATACAAGAGCAATTGAACATGGAGAAAACATCCCAGCTCAGTCCAGATCAGGTCCATAAGCCCGATATTAGCCCATAAGTCCACTATAAATCTATAAAATCCTCCTCAGACTCACGAAACACATACAATGAGGCCAAATGCAGGACGATCACAAGCTAGTGGGTAGAAAGTCTTTGGGGCCAGCGGCATTATAAGCATCTCAGTGCTGGCAGGGGTCTCCCCGTGGCTTCTCCAACTTCCGTGGTCTGGTTGCGTCCATGTGGTTTGTCCTCTGCACTGTCTCCCAGGAAGTGGCAGAAAGAGAGAGGTGTCTTCTGCCTCCACAAAGGAGGTACCAAATTTCCCAGAATTCTCAGGGGAAAGTCATGCCCAAAGAAGTCTCATTGGCTATCTCCAGATTGACAGCCTAGACTCCACCCCTACACTCTTCATCCTTAAATTGACACCAGATTAGGTGACTACCACAGAGGACTAAGGTGAGCCTGATCTAAGCCATGGGGTTTTCCGTGGCCTCATATGCATGTGAAAGTTGGACATCAAATAAGGATGACCAAAGAAAAGCCAATGCATTTGATCTATGGTGTTGGTGAAGAATATTAAAAGTACCATGGTCTGCCAACAGGACAAACTGATCTATCTTGGGAAGAAGTCCAATTAAAATGCTCCTTAGAAGCAAGGATGACAAGACTTCGTCTGACATTCTTTGGACATGTTACCAGGAGAGACCAGTCCCTGGTCATCATGCTTGGTAAAGTGGAGGGGCAGCAAAATGGAGGAAGGCCCTCAGCAAGATGGATCGACACAGTGGCTGCAACCAGGGGCTCAAACATAAGGCCCATTGTGAGGATGGTGCAGGACCGGGCAGCGTGTTGTGCTGTGGTACACAGGTTTGCTGAGTCCAAATGGACTCGACGGTGCCTGACAACAACAATCGAAAACAAATACAAGTTGTTCATTTCTCTCTTTCCTTCTCCTTCTCCTCCCTCCCTCCTTTCCCTCCTTCCTTCGTAAAGTTCTCAAGGCTGCTGTCGCAAAACCATGCCGTGAACTACTTTAAAGAAAAGAAATGCATCAGAGTTCTGGAGTCTAGGAGTCCCAAGGCAGGCTATCCGCTGGGCCATGCTCCTGGTCTGCTCTGTGGGAAAATCATTCTGGTCTCTGCCAGTTTCTTGTAGCCCTGAGAGCCCCAGCTGTTTTTAGCATGTCTTTCCCTTGTGTGCATCTCTTCCTGTCCCTTGTCCCTTCATCAAAGGCCACTCAGAAAGGATTAGAATCCCACTCTATTCACACATACGGTAATTCGGTTAACTGAGATCATCGTCAAAGACTTACTCCCAAGGTCACATTCACGGGTACAAAACTTAGGACTTCAGCATACCTTTTGGGGGGACACAATTTCACCCATATTTACAACTCAAATCTATATACAAACAACCCGCCCCTCTCTTTCCTCCCCCTTTTCCTCTTCTTTCCATCCTCCTTCCACCTTCCTCCTTTTCTCCTCCTCTTCTTACTTATAAAGATGGCTACTGTTATATTTGGGGGAGATGGAGAAATAAATTATATTAACGTATTTTGGGCATGAAACTGTTGATAACCAAGTGCGGTAGGCCTTCTTTGTAGCTAGAATACATCTTTGTTACAGGACCCATTACAGTCTATTTTAGGTATATTTTAATTTCTTTTAATTGTAGAGGAATCAAATTTTAAAACTCTTCTGACTTCATAGGAATTTCATACCTTCATTGCTTTCACGTTTCAGAAATTTAAAGAGAAGCTAAATATAGATGTAATTGAAGACTGTGAAGAAAAACAACTCATCACAACCTTAGTAAGTATTTCCCATCTCCTTACTGCTTTCTGAAAACAAAATGTAGTAGCACACGCTGGCTCTGATTTTAAATAAATGTTGGGCGGCCTCTTTCCTGAGATCTTTAGTGTTAATTAAAAAAGAGAGAAAATGTCCCCCCAAGAGGGGCCTGCTTCTCTTCCTCTGGAAATCAGCCGCAAGTAGGAGGCCTGGCACAGTGGGGCCATTTTATAAAGCCAAGAGGGGTCGGGGGTGGGGGGGGGTGAGCAGCAGGGAGCTCTGGTGGCGTAGTGGATTCTGCACTTGGCTGCTAACCGTAAGGTCAGAGGTTTGAACCCACTAGTCGGTCTGAGGGAGAAAGACGAGGCCTTCTGCTCCTGTGAAGATTTGCCACCTGGGAAAGCTGCAGGGGGCCATTCACGACACCCTGTAGAGTCGATATGAGTCAGAGTACACTCAAGGGCCATGGGTTTGCTGTCGGTTGATTGTTCTGAGAGATGGAAGCAGAGGATTTCCTCCTCTCCCGCTCCGTTATGCCACCGTGTAGCTCCCGAAGCACCAAGAGGATCTGCCTTACTCAGACAATGAACAGCCTTCATTCATAGCGACCTGCGCCCCACAGGCTAACAAACCACTGCCTTTAAGTCTGTTTTGTTGTTGTGACTGTTGTTTGTGCCAGCAAGTTGGTTCCTACTCACAGCAACCCCGTGTGATCCCGTAGAGCTGGTCCATAGGGTTTCCTTGGCTGGTATTGAGACAGAAGCAGATTGGCAGATCTTTATCCCCTAGAGCCCCTGGGTGGGTATGAACCGCCAGTCTTCCAATTAGCAGCCCTGTGCTTAACCACTGAGCCGCCAAGGCTCCTTAACTCTGGCTGAGAGTATTATTTTATTGGCTCACTGTCGACTGCAAGTGTGATCCAGGAATCACAGCTCGGAACATCTTTGTTTGTTATTTATGTGCACTTCGGCGTGACTGATGCTGCGGCTCTGGGAGGGTTGCAAGCGTCCCCGTGTTTTACCTTTCCAGAACACTCTGGGAACTGCAGGGCAGGAACAACCCTTATCCTACACGGTGACTTGTGGTCGGAACTGACTCCACAGCTGCAGGTGGCCGGTTTTAAAGAAATGTTGGTATAGTCTGTCTCTCCCCATGAGGATGTACGTTTCCAGGGGCAGTGACTCGTCTGTTTCATCCACTGCTTTATCCACAATGTCTAGAAACCAGGTGGTTGTTGTTAGGGGCCGTCCAGTTGGCTCCGACTCATAGCGACCCTGTGCACAGTAGAACGAAACACTGCTTGGTCCCGAGCCATCCTCAGAATTGGTGTTACGTGCGAGCCCATTGTTGTTCCACTGTGTCAGTTCGTCTCGTTGAGGGCCTTGTTTTTCATTGACTCTCTAGGACGCATGGTGGGTGCCATAATAGTTAGTCAAGGAAGTGACCTCTCTTCCCCTATTTCCGATCCTCTTCAGCCCAGTGTAAGGAGCCCCGCTGGCACAGCCCCGCTGATGCAGTGGCTGCTAACCACAGGGTCTATGGGTCAAACCCACCAGCATCTCTTTAGGAGAAAGATGAGGCAGTCTGCTCCCATCTAGATTTACGCTCACAGAAACCAACAAAGGCTCTCCATGAGGCAGACTCACCCTGATGGCAGTGGGCTTGGGTTGGGTTCAGCACCGTGTTAAGGATAAGGGATGGCCTCAGAAAAGATGGTTTACGGAACAGTTATCAAATGGGAGGAAAGCGACACCCTGAGTGCTGAAGAGGGCACAATGCTGCTGATAACTGTAAACTTTTTATTTTGCACCATAGAAAGGAAATAGCCAGTGGAGTTGAATCAGGAAGGGAGTCCCATCACTTAGAATGTTTCCTAATAGAGCAGAGTCTCAGTGGCACCATCTGTAAAATGGGCATCGTTTTACAGGTTTGTTGTGAAAGTATGTAAATCGAGCAATCCCAGGCCTGGCACGGTGTGGCTCACTGGGTTTTGCGTATGGAATTCTTGGATTGTAATTTTGTCTTATACCAGATTTCCGTTGTGTGTGGCCTCTAAGAAAAGGGTGGGTGTCACGTCATCTAATACAGCCCCCCTTTGTCTCAACAGAAGGAAGACTTGCCAGATGCAAAGCAAGTCGAGCTGTACGAATTCCACTTCAGCGACTTCCCCATGACCGAGCACAGTTTGGTTCAGTGTGGACTGCGCCTGTTCTTTGAAATCAATGCAGTGGAGAAATTCAAAGTGCCCGTAGAGGTCAGGTGGGATTTTAACACACTGGGAACACGGTGGGGTCCTGATGCTGGACTCCACACGTGTGTTCCGTGGTCAGAGAGCAACTTCAGTTTGGATTCCAAATCCCGTTGAGCTTTGTGAACATCCCTGCCGAAGCCCTGCCAACAAGACTGACCTCCTTTGTAGATAAGATGGTGTGTTCGTCTGGGTAGACTAGAGAAAGAAATTCATAAACATGCAAATGTATATAAGGGAGAGGTTTATATACAAGAGCAAATGAACATGAAGAAAACATCCCAGTCCAGTCCAGATTAAGTTCATAAGCCCGATATTAGCCCATAAGTCCGCTATAAATCTATAAAGTTCTCCTGACTCATGAAACACATGCAATGAGGTCAAATGCAGCATGATCACAAGCCAGTGGGTAGAAAGTCTTTGGGTCTGGTGGCGTTGAAAGCAACTCGATGCCGGCAGGGATCTCTCTGTGGCTTCCCCAGCTTCCGCAGTCTGGTTGCGTCCATGTGGCTTGTCTTCTGCAATGTCTCCCAGGGAGTAGCAGAGAGAGCGAGGTGTCTTCCGCCTCTGAGGAGGAAGTACCAGATTTCCCAGGAGAAGGCCATACTCACAGAAGTCTCATTGGCAATCTGCAGATTGACAGCCTAGACTCCACCCCTACACTCTTCATCCTTAAATTGACACCTGGTTAGGTGACTACCACAGATGGCCTCAGGTCCTCTCACCCTCAGAATTCTAGTCCAAAGTCTGAGAGGGACTGTCTCCTTCGGATAACAGGTTCTTACCAGATGGATGTACACGGTGAAAAAAGGCTACCGCTCCGTCACGTACCACAACTGGAGGCACGGATTCAACGTTGGGCAGACCATGTTTACTTTGCTGATGGTAGGTACCGCTGAGACCAGTGGCCCTTGAGTTCTATCCAATGTCTCCCCTCCCCCCACTCCCCCAGGTGCATCAGGGTAGAATGGATGCATCTTTGCGGAAGTAGATCTCCAGGCCTTTCTTTCTGAGCCCTGAACCCTGGGTGCACTCACAGCACCTACTTTTCTGTTAGCGTCTGGGCCTTTGTACCCCCCAGGGACTTCCCTGGGACATACTCACTCACTGCCATCAAGTCATTGCTGACTCATAGCGACCCCTGTGGGTTTCCAAAGCTGTAACTGTTTATGGGAGTAGAAAGCCCAGTCTTTCTCCCGTGGAGCTGCTGGTGGTTTCGAACTGCCAACCATGTGGCTTGTAGCCCAACGTGGAACCCCTATGGCACCAGGGCTCCATGCAACCTACACATCAATGTAAGTAATTGCAAACCTGCAAAAATCCCAGTTGAGCATGGTGGGAAATGGATGGAATCCATCATTTTGGATTCGGCATTCTGGCATTCACAGGCACAATCCCATCACCCATAAGCCCCTTCCTAGAGAAGTGGTCACTTGGCTAGGTTTTCTTAAAAGGAAAGCTTGTCACCTGCTGGGTCATGGGGCAGTTCCGTTCTGTCCTATAGGGTCTCTATGAATCAGTATTGACTCTAGGCAGTGAGGTCGGAGTTTGGTGGCTGGGTTTTGCCATGCATGGCCCAGATGAGTGACAATACTTAATTGGAAACAGCGCTGGAAACAAGGCAGGTTCCCTTCTCTGTGGCGGGCAGGCTTTGGGGCACTGCTTGTGGAGTTGCATCTCACCCAGGGAGGTTTGTTAAAAATGTCGATTCATATTCAGCATGTCTGAGGTGGAAAGGCAAATTCTCAGCATGCGGTTGAAACAGAAGGAACTGCCTGGAGACCCTAGTGTTGCCGTTGCTATCAGTTGGCTATCAACTCAAAGCAGCTCCGTGTATACTAGAAGCAAAGTTGTCCAGTCCTGTACCTGGTGTGGAGGTGGATTAATCCAAGTAAGTATATATGCGTATGTGTATTTAGACAGGAAGACTGAAGAAATACTACACGGACCTTGAAGCCTTTGCCATGCTCGCTGCTGCTTTCTGCCATGACATTGACCACCGAGGCACCAACAATTTGTATCAGATGAAGTAAGTGAACACACGCTGGGGCAGTGACACAACCCGGTGGGCGGTTGGAGGAACAAAAAGGGAGAACATGGCTCTTACCTCTGTCCCTTACTCCAAGCCGTTCCTCTTCGCCATGTGTAAGCTCAGGACCAGGTGCTGGTCCTTCATAGCATCCATACTCTCCCCCGGGGACTCAGACTCCTAGTTCCCTTCTGTTTCCATTTGCAAATGCATCCCTGCCTCATTTGCATATTCATTTGATTTTATTTTTTTTTAAAGCTTCTTGGTGTGTCCTTTTGAAATCAGAGTACTGGGTTCTTACAGTAAAGTGCATAGAGTTGGGTCCTGGGTTGAATGGATTTTTACGCTCATTCGCCTGGGTAACATCACCCAACTCAAGCTAGAGACCATTTCCTCCTGAGCCCACTTTCCCCTTTTGTCGTCACCAAACTCCTCCGTCAGCTTGCCCTCCAGGCTGACATCATTCCATCTTCCTCTCTGACTCCTACGCAGGCACTCACATAACTTGCTAACTTTGTAATCTGTTGTCATCCCATCAGACATAGTCTGATCCTTCCCAGCCCCACGTCCTGACACTAAAGCTCTGTTCTCTTGGCGCTAAGATGACATTTCCCTACTAGAGCTATTGCCCAAGATTCTGTTTTGCTGTCTCCCCTAAAATGATTCCGTCCATATTTCCAAGCCAAAGACTTCACGTGAAGCAGTAGAGACCTCCAGTTTCACCCTCCTCCCTCTCTTTCACGGTTCAATTTTCAGCAAAGCTTCCCCCATGGCCTTTAGGAAAGGTTGAAGAAAGACAGTCTCCACTTACAACCATTAGTCCACGCAAGGCCTCCGGTTACACCTGTGTCACTCTCTTAGGACACCCAAAACCAAACTCATCGCCATCGAGTCCATTCTGACCCATGGGGAGCCCGTGGGACAGAGGCGAACTGCCCCTGTGCATTTCGGAGCCTGTCAATCGTCACGGAACTAGGAAGCCTCCCTGTTCTTCTGCCACTATCCTGGCGGGAGGGGGGGGTGGGGGGAATATTACTTTATGGGGATTTTTGTCTTGCTGACTGCTGTTGTCAGGGGCCTTTGAGTTGGCTCCAACTTATAGCAACCCTGTGGACAACAGAATTGGAACCCTGCCAGTCCTGGGCCGTCCTCACCACCGTTCTTATGTTTGACCCATCAAAGAGCCCATTGGGTTGACCCTTCTTGGGCTTCTTCTTTTGGTGCTCTGCTACTTGAGAAATTCTTAAGTTTCCCTTTCATGACCGGTTGGACACATACCACTTGCCAACAGGTTCAGTCTCTCAGGATTCTTGGAAAGCTGCCACTCCTATTGGCAGGATGTGCTACCCCTGGGCATGAAGCTGAAGACATGGGCCTCACCCCACAATTCCACCTCCAAAGTCCACTTAGAACATATGTGCCCCACATCATTGTATCAAAATCCGTATTAGCTCAAAAGAAATCCCCCCTGGATTTCAACATGCTTCCATTACAGAAAACACAGGCATCGCCACCCACCGCCAACAAAAATCCAAAGCCCCAAATCATTCAGTCATGACACTTCCTATGCCAATAAGCTATACCTGCGAGCAGCAACAGGTCTGGGACACATCCTATAAGTCATGATCCACCACCGTAAGTGCCAGGGGACTGGAAGATTTTATAGGCCGAGGAGAGATAGACTTCCTACTTTAAATAATTCACTCATTTATGCCTCCATCCGATTTTTTAAAAAGATGGGTGTGTTTGGTTTGTTTTGTTTTAAAGAACATTTTTTCATCTTCTGAGCCCAAAAAGCCCTCTCCAAGATGCTGTTTATAGCCACTTAGCAGATGAGGGGCGACGCGAGCAAATTCTTGTGACGGTGGGGATTCTCTGGGATGGGGACCCCTGTGTATGGATACACAGCTTTGCTGCTGCTCGTGGCCGGTGCGTCGACGGTGACTCGTGCCAGCCTCGAGTGCAGAGCACAACAGCCCCACAGGGCTTTCAACCCTGTGACTTTCAGAAGCACATCACCCGCTCTGGGCACCTCTCGTAGGTTCAGGCCACCCCTTTTGGCCAGTAGTTGGGAGCTTAGCCTGTTTGCGCCATCTGAGGATCCCTTCAAGGAAGCAGCTCTAATGGTGGCCGGTGCGTTTCTTTCCAGATCCACATCTGCACTGGCCAGGCTTCACGGCTCGTCCATCCTGGAGCGCCACCACCTAGAATACAGTAGGACTCTCCTGCAGGATGAGGTACGCAGCTTCCCGGGCGCCCTGTTTCCAAGCTCTCACCACCCCAAATCCTCAAAACTGGATACCCGTGAATGGTGACTACCCTCAGGGAAGCCAATGGACCAACATGACGATTTTGCCAGTTGTTAACAACCCAGGAAGAAGGAGCCGAGATAAAGGAATCAAGGCCATGGAATCCAAATGTTAAGGATTTGGGTTCAAAGTCAAGCCTATGTAACCTTAGGGACATCTGAGGATCTCCATGGGCCTTGGGGGGAAGAGCTTATGGTGGAGGTGACAGGCCTCTGTGCGCCCAAACATGTGGATAAATGTGGAGACGGAAAGGCGGCCGGCAAGCCGCTGATATACTTACTCTTTCCATCAGTGTTTGCTGAACTTTCTCTAGTCTGAAACCTGCCGCCACAGGCCTGGTGCATGCCTTGAGAAAGTCAAGTACTGGAAGTACCGGAGGAAGTCAGGAATCAGGATCTAAGATAGTATCAGAGAGCTGCCACCTGAGAGAGACTGAGCCACATTCTGGGTGTTCCAGAGAGCAAGGTCACATTCCGGGGAAGACTGGGGCCCCGAGAAGGGTGGGGCCCGGAGAAGAGAGGGCTTCATGCTGAGCGGTGCCCGTGAGCTTGGTCTTGGGTTTGCTATGATTTGTACCTAGCATGTACGATTCACAGAACATAGGTGCTAATCATTCCTCTTGGTCAATTATATTTTATGATCGAGACACATGGAAAGATTGTAGATATAAGGCAATTAAACAAACAAAAAAACAAACCAAAAACGTCTTGGGAAGGTTCCAAGCCAGAAGCAGAAGCGATGAAAATGTGTCATGATCAGATTGGGGGCAGCAGTGTTTGATCATGGGAAGAGAACTTGTGCAAAACTGCACCCACCTACTGGGATAAATAGGTCCCATGGAGACATTTGTCTCCTCTCAGCTTCTGGTGGTTATGTGTTAGCCCCCAAGAGAAAGGTGTGTGGCTCAAACCCACCAGCTGCTTCACAGGAGAGAAATGTGGCCATTTAGGTCACAATTCTAGCCTACGAAGCCCTCTGGGGCAGGTCCCCTCTGTCCTCTGGGGCAGGGACCAGAACCCATAAGATGGGCATGGCGCTGTAATAACTGTGAGGACGACTGGAGAAGAACGGTGCATTTGAATTACGTAGTTGGCAAAGAACACTGAAAATACCAAGGACCGCCAGAAGCACAAACAAATCTATCCTGGAGAAAGGACAGCCAGGGCGTTCCTTAGAAACGGGTGGTGGGACCTGGCCTCACATGCTCCGGCTATGTTCTCAGGAGAGACCAGTCCCTGGAGAAGGACCCCTGCTTGGGAAAGGAGCGGTCCGCCCAAGGAGAGGAAGACCCTCAAGGAGCTAGACTGACACCGTGGTTGCGACAATTCGCTCAAGTACAACGACTGTGAGGGCGGTTCAGACGGGACAGGCAGTGTTCCGTTCTGTAGGAACTGGCATCGTGACGAGTCAGAGTGACTGACAATAAAGACCGCTGGTGTCACTGAGGTCACGCGAGCCGATGTTCCCTGAAAGGTCACAGTTGCTCCCAGGCGGAAGGGTGCGACAGTCTGCTTCAGTAAACACTTGGGGAAACTCTACTTTGTGGCAACCTTCAGAGTTCCAGTATTTCTGGTGTGCAAACACAAGAGCCTGGAGCAGAATGTAACCATGAAAACAATGACTATTCTGTTCTGTGAGAATTAGAAAAAGGAGTGGAATTGAAAGCAATTCTGGAAGATTCAAAACACCACCCCCACACCCCCACACCCCCACACCCCGCCCCGACACACCGCCATCAAGCTGATTCTGATTCTTAGTGACGCTGTAGGACACAGAACTGTTCCCGTGGGGTCTGAGAGCCTCATCTTCCTCCCAAGGAGCAGCTGGTGGTTTCAAACTGCGGATTTGGCGATTAGCAGCCCAATTCATTACCCACTATGCCACCAGTGCTCCCCAGGAAGATAAGAACCAATGACTACTACCCAATTTGTTATGTCTCTGTTTTGCTGGAGGAAACAATTCTGAGTAAGAATTTTTTGTGCACCCCAAATGAAAACTATGTGATAGCATAGTCAGGTAGTGTCAAATGTATTCTAGATTTACTTATGAAAGCAAAACATATATATATATATTTTTAACTACAGCCAGATATTTAAGTGGTTGACATTGGACGGGTTCTAGTATATCTTTTCTGTTTTCCCTCTGGGTTGGACAGTTTATAGTTATAGTTTTCCATCTTAACTTTTTAATGCTATTTACTCTGTGGACTAAACTGACTCTGAAGGCTATTTAAAAAGATGTATTATTCTTTCTGAAAAGGAATATTGCTTCCCAGTAATCCACATCATCTTTGTGAGGACCTTTCTACATACTATCCAACCTGCTAATTGCAGACTTTAAAGCCTTGCAAACAGAGTTGCTAGGCAATGCAGCTACACAGGGTTTGCTTATGTGCAATCAAATTGCATGCTAAAAAAGGGGGCAGAGTTTTAGTGATCAGATGTTCTTTTACATTCTTGGCAGATGATGTAGTTCTCCTGATGTGTGTGTGCTTATGCTATAAGGAAATACTGCCCACACTTACAAACTTTATTATTTTTTTTCAAATCAGGGAAATCCTTAGGATTTTTCAGCCATGCTTTCCTTTCGTGGGCATTATTCAGACATTCTGTTTTCACATTATAGAACGTTGAATGGGAATGCCCTTAACCCCCGAGTAGAAGTGGACTCACTGTGTTGAGGTCGGAACGATTTGCATTCTAAGCCCAATTGCAGCCAACTCTTAAAAGCCAGTGAATAGGTGGAAGCATTGTCAGCCAAATGTGGAGCAGAATACATTTCTAGACCGTGCTGCCCCGGAAATGACATAAATCAATTGCTCCGTATAAATAGCGGAACCCTGTTCTTATTCAAAGCACTTCTTTCCAAAGCATATGATCATCGTTTTTGTGCTTTTCCATATCAACCTCAGCCTGTCTCGTTTTGTATAAAGAAGACATGGAGGCGAAATGGTCTTGTGTATGGCTATCAGGGGTCAGGCTGTTGACAATATTCTCTCAATGGTGCGTTGCTACTCACCTGAAAGGTTCAAATGGCCTGGCCTCCCTTCACCTAAAAGCCCCGGCAGAATAAATTAGAGTGGTCTCTACCCATTTGGGGAGAAAGACAGGGCTTTCTACTCCCATACACAGTGACAGACTCAGAAACTCACAGGGCAGCTCTACCCTGTCCTATAGGGTGGCTGTGAGTTGGTACTGACTCAATGGCGGTGAGTTTTTGGTTTCTACCCCTTTGGGTGGGCTATCCAGAATTTGTACCTTTATTGCCATTTAAACAACCAGGCGCCAACAAAAATAGGTTCTCTCCGGGATCAGGTGAGAGCAGCTGAGCAACCAGGCACCACGTTGGATCAGGGCCGGGAACTAGTCTGCTGTTGTCCGGTTGCACTTCGATCATGGTTTTTTAGCACAAGACTTAGGAAAACAAATGCAGTATGATATGCTTACGTATCTTTAAAGTCAACGACTTACCCTTGTAAGAGTGAGACATAACCACTATAAAAATTCAAGGAATAGGGAAAATTCCAAAGACCAAAAAAACCTTCCTCAAATTGACCACTCCAAATAGATAGCTTCATTAACATTTGCAGTCACCTTGTGAAAATACATAGGCAGCATGGACAGAAGCATATTTAGAAAAGATAGGATCATATCATTCAAGTCATTTGAGTTGCCTATAGTCAGAGTTTTGTTTCTAAATCAATTTAGTTGAAGTATAAATGTGTAATTCTAAGGGTTTTTATGGTTGTACACAACTGCGAAACTCCTTCTGGAAGCATAAATCAGAACATTTTTATTACCCTAAAAGATTCCTCATATCCCTTCACACCTTTAAAACTGTATAATTTTGCTCTGTAATTTCAATAACTTCCAAAATGGTTTATTCCTTATTCTACATTTAAATGAACTTGATATTAACCATGAGTCTTTTGCCATGGGTTCTTAGTGTTTATGTATTTGATTTTTATTTAATATTATTTGGCTATACTTTTGTCAGCTGGTAACTTTTCAGAAGTGATGAAGGTACTTATATTTCTATTTGAAGCTCAGCCTGGTGGATAGAAAGATATCAGATTTCACTTTCTTGACCTCAGAAATTTGAGGACAGTTCTCTAGTGTCTCTTGGGGTTAAATTGAAATGCTTTTTCTTTGAGATCTATTACACCCACTCTTCACTGACTGACTACCTGATTATCCAACATTTCATATTTACAACCATCGTAAAACATTTACTATCCAACTGTTTTTCACATTAAAGTTACTGGATGTGATGATTGCAGTTACGTTTCAACTTGACTGCCGTAATCCTCAGTGGTTTGGCGGTTATGGACGGAGTACTTTGGCAGTTGGGGCATGATGTCATCATCCCGATTTGTGATCTGATGTGGTCATCCCCTATTTTGTAGACAACTGAATTTCGCATAACAGCCTGATCTTTGGAAGCTAACCATGTCAGTACGTGAGGAGTAGGTAGACTTTTCATTCTACTAATGAGCTTTGTTGGTTCACTTTTTATACTATTATTGTCACATTACATTCTCCTCTTGGAGTGTTTGTATTTTGGAGACTATGGGGGAATCACTGATGTGAATGCTTCATGTGATTCTTTGGGTAATTGCTTTCAAGTAGTTACTAACTGACCTTTTATATGTGTTCCTTTCTCTGCTACTGTTTTCCAAAAGTACCTATGTGTGTGATTATGTTGTACTTATTTACTCAGCCAACTATTGAAAGATATTAGAATCATAACCAGTTTGGGGTTAATAGGAATGGTTCTGCTGTGATCGAAAACATATCTTTTGCTAAGCAAATGTTTGCATTTCTGTATGATATATACCTAGGAATGGCTTTTCTTTGTCGTAGGACCCTAGGATATGCATGAGGAGCCCTCGTGGCAGAGTGTACTAAACATTGGGCTGCTAACGACAAGGTCAGCAGTTCGAAACTACTAGCCATTCTACAAACTACTAGCCACTGTAACTTTTGTAAAAAGTTAGGGTCTTGGAAACCCCCTGGGGCAGTTCTGCCCTGTCCTATTGGGCGGCTATGAGTCAAAATCCATTTGATGGCAGTGACAGAATTTGAAAGGATGCATATGGTCAGCTTTAACGGATACAAGTAAACAAGTTTCCCAAGTGGTTGTAACAAGGGACATTCCTGTCAACTAATTTGATTGTACTCATTGCTCTAAATTCTCCCCAACACTCGATGTTTCCCATCGTTCTCATTTATCCACTAGGTGGGGATTGGGTGGCACTGCATTGTGTTTTCATTTTACACTGAATGTAGTTTACATCAGATTTATAGGACTGATTGATAAATTTGAGCACATTTGCCTTGTGATATTCAGTGGTTGAGACAGTGGGCTCAAACAGCAGTGGTTATGAGGATGGCACAGGACTGCGCTGTGTTTTATTCTGTTGCATGTTAGATCACTGTGAGATGGAACTGACTTGATGGCATAGTGGTTGTATAATTCTACAATTCCGCCAGCAATGTATGAGCGTTCCAGTATCTCCACATCCTCTCCAGCACTTATTATTTTCTATTTTAAAATTTTTTCTAAGACTGTCAATGTGAGGTGGTATCTTATTGTGTTTTAATTTGTATTTATTGCTAATGAATGCAAGCATTTCTTCATATGATTGTTAGCCACCTGAATGTCATCTTTAGTAAATTGTCTATTTATGCTTTGTGCCCATTTTAAAATTAATAAATCATTTTATTGGGGGCTCTTACAACAATCCACATATAAATTGTATCAAATACAGTTGTATATATGTTGCCATCATCAGTTTCAAAGCATTTTCTTTCTGTTTGAGCCTTGGTATCAGCTCCTCTTTTTTCCCTGCCTCCCATCCTCATGGACCCCTGATAAATTGTAAATTATTATTGTTTTCATATCTTACACCATCCACTGCCTCCCTCCACCATGTTTCTGTTGTCCGCCCCCCCTGGCGGGGGTGGTTATATGTTGAGCATTGTAGTCAGTTCCCCGTTTCTTCCCCTTCTCCTTCCACCTGCCCCCTACCCTCATGGTATTCCTATTCCCATTACTGTTCCCGAGGGGTTTATCTGTCCTAGACTCCATGTGTCGAGAGCTCTTATCTGTATCAATGCACATGCTCTGGGCTAGCCGGATTTGTAGGGTAGAACTGTGGTCATGATAGTGGGAAAGGAAGCATTAAAGAACTGGAGCAGCAGTTCTCAACTTGTGGGTCTCAACCCCTTTGGGAGTCAAACGACCCTTTCACAGGGTCGCCTAAGACCATCGGAAAACACCCATTTCCCATGGTCTTAGAAACCGAGACACCGCTCTATGTCTCCAGGCAGGTCCGCCCACAGACGAGTACACGGCATGAAGACTGTTACCCATGCTACACCCTGCTTCAAGACCAAACTTCATTGAATTGTCATTAGAAATAAACATTTTGTTTTTGTGATGATCACTATGCTTTAGTGAAGTTCAATTTGTAACAATGAAAATACATCCTATCAGATATTTACCTTACGATTCATAACAGCAGCAAAATGACAGTGATGAAGTAGCAATGAAAATAATTGTATGGTTGGGGGGGTCACCACCACATGAGGAACTGTATGAAAGGGTGGCGGCATGAGGAAGGTGGAGAACCCCTGCCCTAGAGGAAGGTTGTGTGTTCCATGGGTGCTGTGCTGCACCGTGACTGATCCCTTCCTTCCTTGTGACCCTGCTGTGAGGGAAGGTCCAATTGTCTACCGATGGGCTTTGGTCTCCATTCATTTGCATCAATATATTTGTATGGTTTGGGTTTTCTGATGCCTGATACCTCGTGATCACACGGTTGTGCCTATCTTTTTATTTGGTTATTTGTATTTATCTTTTAAAAAGTGTTGTGGTTTTCTGTAGCTTTTTGAAATTAGCCCTTTATCTGATATTTGCTAAATATTTTTTCCTAATTTGCGGGTTGTCTTTTAACCCTTTTATGAACAATTTATTTGTTTTGATGTTTGAAGATGGCATGAGATCATGATTTTTGTAATTAACAACTGAACAGACCTCTCAATGGCTTGCCCTGTAAAGCCTTTAAAACAGCACCTCTGCCTTTACAATCCCATTTCCCAGAAAACTAAGACATGAAGTTGACTGCCCCGTGAAGGAATTACTAGTAAGAAACATTATATAAAAAAAGATCTAGTGAAGTCTTTGTAAAATAATGAAATATTTTAAGAATGGGGGGCTCTTTTCATCGCCCTCCCCTGAAAGATACATAAATGCCAGTGAAATTTGTAGCTTCTGAAAGACTGAGTCTTGCTGGCCCTCTGAACCAGCTAGTGGATAACTCAACAGGTCTAACAACTGTACACCTACCAGACATTCCTTGAACGCACTGTCCTTCAGTCAGTTCTGACTCACAGCGGCCCTACAGGACAGGGTAGAACTGCCCCTGTGGGTTTCCAAAACTGTCACTCTTTATGGAAGTAGAAAGCCTCATCTTTCTTCAGCTGAGTGGCTAGTAGTTTCGAACTGCCAGCCCTGTGGTTAGCAGCCCAATGTATAATATACTAGGTCACCAGGACTCCTTTCTATTTAAGCTCCACAAAAATTTCCACCAAAAGTGATAATCCATTATTACAGTTTTAAATGGCTCTGGAAGATAATGCTTATATGATATGAGATTAACATTGACGATAAGAACATTTGTTAACTGCATCTATTTTTATAGCTCAAATCACTTGAGTCAAAGTAAAGGGGTTTACTTAATCCAGTGGTTCTCAACCTTCCTAATGCCTCGACACTTTAATACAGTTCCTCATGTTGTGGTGACCCCCCCAACCCAAAAATTATGTTCATTGCTACTTCATCACTGTAATTTTGCTACTGTTAAGAATCGGGCGACCCCTGTGAAGGAGTTGTTCAACCCCCAAAGGGGTCGCGACCCACAGGTTGAGAACCACTGATTAATTCATAGGCTCAAAATTGAAAATCAAACCAAACAAAAAGTGTTACTAGGCCTTGTTTTCCTTATTTCTATAATTGAAGTCTCATCTTTGATTACTTTGTCAAACTGACTTTGTTTGATTGATGGTTGAATTAAAGGTAAGTTAATGACGGCATTTTATTGTGAATTTTCCTCATAGACTTTAAACATCTTCCAGAACCTAAATAAACGCCAGTTTGAAACAGTCATTCATTTGTTTGAAGTTGCAATAATAGCAACTGACCTGGCTTTGTATTTCAAGTAAGTACATCACTTCCCATCACTGACCTTCCTTTTACCTTGGGCTATGGCACTAAAGTTAAAAGACTGTCTCTCTGTCTATCTCTCTCTATCATAAACACACCTGCATGTGCATACACACACATTTGTTCATTTTCTTTTTAAATAGATGTTGAATAGAATACCCTCAGAAAAACCAGAAGTGACTTTATTAGGCCATTTGGAAGCACTGGAAGCCCCTAATATTAAGTAGTTTGTTACCTGATGTAGTTTGAATGGAAAAATCCATAGCAAGGTTTGTGGTTTGTCAGAAGAATATTTCAGGAAACCTCACAAAGTAGATTTTTGTCTGGGTGACAAATCTTGACCCAGAATCTGTGTGCCATGCTCAGGAACTTGATCCTGTCAGAGCCTTGGAGAGGAACACCCTTGGAGGTTCTGATGCCCATGAGCCAGACTCACAAATCTCTGGGTTATAGACCATATAGGAGGGCTAAGCTATTTACAGTAACAGAATATAATTGCCAGGGAGACCAGGTTCCCCAAGCTCCTGGCAAGTGTAAAGTAGGTTGGTGAATTTAGATTAGAACAAACCGAGCCAGTTATAGGATCCAATTATTTAATGACTCATATGGTCATTGTCAAATGATATCTCTCAAATCCTTCTCAATTAAAAATCTAATGATTAAATATGTCAAGCGTGCCACAAAGTATAAAACCAGGGTGGGTAAAAACGTCTTAGTAGGAAATCAGAGAAACCTTCATTCACAACAAAACAGCAAACCGTGAAGCTACTGTTTCTTGACACATCCACCATGTAGATCCACTTACTTCTGAAAGCTGGGCTTCCCTTTCTCTCACCTGTTCCATATCAACATGGCGGTGTGGGCATCCTTGTGATACACAAGTTGTGTTCTTTTAAAATGCTCCTTGAGCTTTGGGAACAAAACCAAGTCTGAAGAGGCGAGAGAAGGGCTGTAGTATGGGTGGGGTATGGCTTCCCAACTGAATTCCCATAGGACAGCGCTGGGTATCCTTAAAGAGCGAGCAAGTACTTTGATGTGATAGAAAAAATTTTTTTCTGTGCAACTTTCCTTGTCTTTTCCTCACCAATGTCATTTTCAATGTTTTGTGTGTGTTTTTTTTAAACTTCTCATAAGCCCCCGTGATTGTTCTGGGGTCTTGGAATCCCCCAAAACCAGTCCCCATAATCTTCTGTGGTGACCTGCCTCGAATTTGACAGGCCCAGCTGACCACTTTGGAAGCCCCTGTGTGACTGGGCGTTTTATTTTGAAGGCACTCTAAGAGTCTAAGACGAGTGTGTTTCTGAGAACTTGTCTGCAGCAGACATGGATCCACTGATATCAGAGGCGTGTTGGAGCCCGCTGTGTCTGGAATAAACCCATGTAATAAATGCACACTGAACTGGAACCCTGGAAGCCATGTTCTGACTCACCCTCAAATTCATGCCTCTATAACCCAGATTCAACAAATGTTCACGTTGCCACATTTGCTGCAGGTCTCTCTCTTTCAGGGAGAAACAATGTATCATTAGTGATAGGGGAATGTATTTTGCCCACATCCTATCATGACAATTCCCTCCCTGACAGACGTCACCCTCCTGATGCTGATGTCTGTTCAACCTTTCCAATATCATGTGGCATTGTGCTTTTCATTTTTCCATAAGTGGTATCATATTGCACATACGTTTCTGTAACTTTCTTTCTTTGCTCCTCATTGTGAAAGAAGCCCTTCAGGATAAGGAAATTTAATTGTCCATTAGATAATTTAATTGTCCACTCAACTGTCTTATTCTTTCACATATTAATCAGGTTATAATGATCTTACCCATTCTTCTCTCACCAGCATTTAGATGGTACCAGCAATGCTACATTGGGTAGCCTAGCGTATAGACGAGAGTTTCTCAAAGACACCTACCTAAGACGAGAAGGCTTAGGCTCTGCATAGCTTTAATTATATGCAACCTTGAAAAACTGCATTCCCGAGAACTTGCGTCAGTGTGTGTTCCCACCAACACTGTACCAGAGTTCCCATGATCCCATCTCTGAAAACTTCTGGATCTGAGCATATTAAAATTATATTATACTTATTTATTTTTGCTAATGCATGAGAGTTTCCTGTTGTTGTCTAAATGTGTATTTTCTGGATTATCAGAGAGGCCGAGCATCTTTTCCTACATTCCATTTTGGGTTCTAATCTCTTGCTGGCTCTATATGTTGTGATAGCTCATCCTAGTCTGTTGCCTTTTATCTTTGTCACGGTCTCATTTGTCATATGTCACTTTTCATATTAGTGCATTCAAATTTACCAGTTGTGTTTTCTTTTCTTTTTCTGTATTGCTTTTTTATCTTCAGCATTTTCTCATCCAATATTACATAGCCCTTCCCTGTTCCTTGCTCCCTTAGACTCCACTATGTAGGCATCCTAGTGCAAGCATTGGTAGAGTATGCACTTAAGAATGCCTTTCCTCTCTGCCCTTATATGCTAACATTGCTGCACAGCTCGATCTTTTTTAGGAAGAGAACCATGTTTCAAAAACTTGTTGATGCCTGTGAAAAAATGGAAACGGAAGAAGCCATCAAATACATAACCGTCGATCCAACCAAAAAAGAGGTCATCATGTAGGTAGTCAGAATCGTACTGCCCTCTTGGAAAAATAACTGACTTGTCCTGCTTTCTAGTTTAACAATTTTTCTTTTCCTCCACAGGGCAATGATGATGACTGCGTGCGACTTATCTGCTATCACCAAGCCCTGGGAGGTACAAAGCCAGGTGAGCCCAGTTGTTCTACATGTGTGCTACTCCCAAGTACTGCCTAGGTCCATGTAAAATTGGTGAAAGTCTACAGAAAGCTATCTGTTATGCAACAGAATGTAATTATTGCTATCAGTTAGATGGTGATGTATTTTCTAAGCAACAACCTTTTGTTACACTAGACTTGTCGACTTGTTCTCTCCAACAATTGGTTTATAAATTTAAATGAATAATAATTGAGAAATTATGACAATTAGAAAGAAAATATTCCCAGTTGTTGATGAAGGTTAAAAAAAAAAACCCAAAAAAACATGAGTTAGACAATAGGTAGTTTGACAGACCTATGACCAATGATATATCATAATAGTTTTCTTTGAGGTTTTCCCAGCTTCTTGAAAGGTTATTTCCTCCTCTTTTGTGCTGTTGGGGAAGTTTTCTTCTATGAGATCTCATACTATTTTCTCTGTAGACATTTTTGTTTCTTCTTCCAGGGTCCCGATGAGATATAGGTTGTTTCGCTTGACGTTGTTGTTAGGTGCCATCAAATCGGTTCTTATCCGTAAGATCCTATCCACAGCAGAATGAAACACTGTGCCCTCTGCACCATCCTCACAAGTGCTGCTTTGCTTGAGTCCATTGTGGCAGCCGCTTGTTGATCATTTTGTTAAGGACTTTCCCCCTTTTCTGTGGCCCTTTACTTTACCAAGCATGGTGTTCTTCTCTGGGACTGATCTCTCCTGAAAACATGCCCAAGGTATGTGAGATGATGTCTCACCACCATTGCCTTTAATGTAGTCTACCGCTGAAATTTTACCCTCTTGGAGAGTGGGACTGAGGAGGTGCTAATTTACCACTAACTAGATGGGAAAAAGGAGTCCTGGTAGCATAGTGGTTATGTGTGGGGCTGCTAACCACAAGATCAGCAGTTCAAATCCACCAGTTGCTCTGCAGGAGAAAGATGAGTCTTTCTGCTCCCATAAAGAGTTACAGTCTTGGATACACACGGGGAGTACTGTGTCCTATAGGGTCACTAGGAGTCAGAATCCACCTGATGGTATAGGATGAATGAAAACATCTAACTTTCCCTTAACGAATTCTAGACAAAACCTTAAGCAAAAGAGAGGCCAGGACTGACTGGGTTGAATTGCAGATGTGCACTGTATTGTAAAGATATCATAATTGGACCCATCAAGTCCAGAGTCAGACATCTGAATGCCGTCCACCCAGACACACCAGCTCTTCCTCTGGGTCGCTTCATCTAGACAGGCCCCTCAGCCAGAATCTGGGGTCTCGCTTGGGTCCATTGCTCCCATTTAAAAATCATTTCGGTCACCCTGGCTATTGCTTCAGTGTAAACGGCCCATCCTCTTTCACTGGGACAACGAGGCCGTCGTTGGGATTGCTTAGCGCTCAGTCACTGCACCGCTTACAAGCCTCTAAAAGCTCGCCGTGGTTTTCACCGGGGGTTCGTTTAATGCGAAGGCCATTTCTGCCCACAGAAATTCAAGTCACTTTTTAAAGAGGGAGGGGAAGCAAAGCTAGTTTAGCGTATATCTCCCTTGGTCTCCACCCCGCTGGGCCCTGGTATGCGTTGGAAGAGCCCCGTGGGCTCCAGGAATGAAAACTACGGTCTGGAGGATGAAGTGGGAACTGCCAGCAAGGTTTCCGCGGCCTGCCACTACCTGTGCTTACCGAACGGTCCCAGGCCCACTTCCCATCACCCTCCCCTGTTACAGCCTTGAACTCGCAGCTCCCCTCCCTTGAGCTCTGGACGGTCCATTTTATTTCTGTGCGTGCTCTTCTCCTCTCTCAAAAGAGCAAAAACAAAAGCAAGACACCAAATTCGCTGCTGTCTAATCAATTCTGACTCCTCGTGATTCTACAGGGCAGAGCAGAACTGTTCCTGTGGGCTTCTGAAGTTGTAAGGGAGGGAGCCCTGGTGGTATAGTGGTTGCACGTTGGACTGCAATCTGCATGGTCAGTAGTTCAAACCAACCGCAACTCTGCGGAAGAAAGACTGGGCTTCCTACGCTTGTAAAGAGTTATAGTGTTGGAAACTCACAGGGGCAGTTCCGCCTTGTCCGACAGAGTTGCTATGAGTTGGCATCAACTCAGGGCAGTGAGTGTGGTTTGGGTTATTCTTCCTATCCCACGGGGTACATGTCCATAAAAGGCAGCAGAAAGATGTTCAATGAACTTGATATTTTTAACAATATAAATTAATCCTTAATCTCCTCATACTATGGTGAAGCTGTGCATTGATGCATGCTTGTGTACCCTACCAGATAAGCAGGACAAGAGGAAGATTTGGGAGGCATTAGAGCTTGAAGCATAATGTTTAATGAGCCAAACATCTTCCCATCTCCCCTTTTCATATAGAGAGATGGTGGCTACAGTAATTAGGACAAACTCTAAGAATGAGTCCCAGAGCAGTGAAGTAGTGAGAAAAATGTCCTATTTGCCATTTCAATATAATCTATAGGTGATCAATTTAAACATAAGACCATTTGGTCCAAGAACATATTAAATATCAAGTATAACTCTATATCCTTAAATATCACTTGTACTAATAAAAGGCAAACTCTCTACTACTAAGTGGGCTTCAATGAACCAAGCCTCTCTTATTTGCAGGTTGCCCTTCTGGTCGCAAGTGAATTTTGGGAGCAAGGAGATCTGGAGAGGATGGTGCTACAGCAACAACCCATTGTAAAGGCCTTGACACACACACACAAATGCCTTACTTATTCAAAATTACCAGTGCAAGTCAGTCTGTTTGTTTACTGAATTTTAGAAGTCTATCTCAAATGGATTTATTCTCTTTCTAGCCTATGATGGACAGAAACAAAAAAGATGAACTGCCTAAACTTCAAGTTGGATTTATTGACTTTGTCTGTACTTTTGTATACAAGGTGAGAATACCAAAAGTGATTATTTGCTTGAAATAGGTCATCCTTTAGAGGTGAGCTTTCCTTTCAACATGTTAAAGAATCAAAATGTCAACCCACATGGAAAAGCATTCAGGATGTCCTGGTTTCTCCAAGGTAGTTTAAGGTCTTACCCTAATCTCCCATTCAGGGGTGGAATAAAGGGTGAGAGAACTCAGAGATGAACAAACAGACTTAAGCAGCCAGAAAAACAGGTGTGGTCTTTCCCAAGCTTCCAAACCACTGATTTAAGCTCATCTTTACAGTTATAAGCACCATAGCAGTTCCTTATTGCTTCTAGTCTGCGTGCGAAAAACACTTACAATGAATTGTCTGACTTGAGTTGTTTCTGACTTAAAATTCCCTCTAGGAATTCTCCCGGCTTCACAAAGAAATCGCACCTATGCTGGATGGTCTTCAGAAGAACCGAGCCGAATGGAAATCCCTAGCGGATGAGTATGATGAAAAGATGAAGGCGATTGAAGAGGAAGTGAAGAAGCAGGAAGATGGAAAAACAATAGGAAAAGGTTAGATGGAATGTTTATGCTTCGTGCAAAAGTGCCAGGAAGTCAGGCCGAGCTCACATGACCCAGGGCCTGTCACATGACAAAGGCAAGACACATAGTCACAAACAGGAAACGGGCTTTACTATGCATGAGAGGTGGCTAGTGGTTTTCCATTGTCCCCCCTAAAACAAGAGCTCACATAACATCCGACTGCAGAGATCACAGAAGATCACTTTATTATTCCATTTAAAAGACATGTCAAGAAATGGCAAATCCGCAGAAAAAAAGTAGATCCATGTTTATTGAGAGCTATGGTGGGCCCAAGGGGAAGTGGAGAGTACAGGGTTACTTTGGGGGGTAATACAAATATTCTAAAATTAAAACTATGGTGGGAGTTTTACAACTCTCTGAATCTACTACATACCATTGAGTTGCTTATTTGAAATGGGTGAGCTTTATGGTATGGTGTAGCATAATTATATCTCAATAAAGAAGCTTAAAAAATGCGCGCGTGCGTGCTCATGTTAAATTCCAAGAACCTGGGCTGTTCCGTTTCATTAAACTTGTGGCCCTGTAGTCGTTTCTGGGACAAAGCAGAACTAAGATTTTCAGGCTGTGGTCTTTAGGGAAGCAGACTACCACATCTTTTCAACCACAGAGTAGCTGATGGATTGGAACTATCAATCTTTCAGTTAGCAATCAAGCATTTAACACTGTGAGACCAGGTCCTGCTGAGTTCAGTGAAACCTATCTAAATCTTTTAAAATATGTTTTCCCAAAGTAGGAAACTAGTTGTATGACGTATTTTAATAGAGATGGAATAGGTTCAAAATAACCCACCAATATGGTCTTCTACAACCTTCAAAGGTAAACTTAAATCTAGAATGTGTGACAGTTTAAATAAAAATTAAGACCAAAAAACAAAACAATGACAACAGCACACTGTGGTCCTTTCAAAACAAAAACAAAAAACCTGTGGTAATACTTTCTAAATCAAGTACGTAAACCGTCATTCATGTTTAACATGATTTTAAAATTATTTAATTTTAATTATTTACAAATATACTCTAATAGATGTCCCCCCATAATTTTAAAAATGAATAGATTTTAACTAATTCAGAGCCTTCATTTTCCAGTTTTCATTATTCATTTTTAAATGCACAGATGATTATAAATTGTGGAAACTTCCAGACTGTATAACTCAGCATTTCCCATCACAAATTAGGATAATACATAGCTAATTATTCATTAGGGTTTATCTTTCAAATGGAAACCATCTAAACATGAATTCAAATGTTTTGAACTGGTAAAAACTTTTGTACTTGCGATTGGGTAAAATGAATAATTAGGCTGTCAAGTTGATGTTAAAACAAAAACCTAATAGATGGCTTGCTTGTCTTCCAAAATGACATTGCTCCTTTGCTTTCACAGCTGCAGAAGATTCAGGAGGAGGTGGTGGTGGTGGTGGCAGTGGCGGTGGTGTTGGTGAAGACAGAAAGTCTAAAACATGTCTAATGCTGTAATAGCCAACTGCTCTAAATTTCTAGTATTCTTTTGACTTCCAAAGGAAAGCAGAAAGCACGCAAGAGAACTGCAGCCAATCTCATTCAAGTGAAGCCGTCAGTAACGGAGTAAGAGGATCTTCAGAGAAATTACGCTACCCCAGCTACTATCAAGAGAAGATATGTTGGTAGCCTGACCACCCTGAGGGTAAAATAAAGTGCAAAACAAGGCAAAACTGAGCACGTTTCTGGTGCCGATTTGTTTTCCATTAAAAACAGGCAAAAAATAAATAAAAATAAGAACATGCAATTCTGAAAATCGTCACAAATTCTTTATTTTAAAAAGTTCTTATCAATAATTGTAGGGTGCAAAAGGCTAAGTACTGAGCTCCTAACTGAAAGGCTGGTGGTGGAAAGCCAACCATCAGCACTGTGGACGGGAGATCTGGTCATCTGCTTCCATAATCATTACTGCCAGTGCACCCCCATGGGCAGTTCAACTCCGTCACGTGGACTCAACAGAGACATGATGGCACCTTACGATAACACACACACCTTAAGATAACACACACTGTTCTGAACTAAAAATTTCTCCTCAGTATGTAAAGACATGCAGGATGCAAACATGAGAGTAGCCCAATGTATTATTACTAGGGTTCTAGTTTGTACATGCCTGGGCTTATTCTGAACAAAATGCATTTCAATATGTCCCCGTGGTCAGTGGGTGGCTGCAGAGACGCTCTCTCAGGAGCACGCTTGTCGTAGTTTCCTTACGGTGCCTTAAAAAAGGTCTCCTATCCTCACAAGGTCACTCACTGAAGACATGGTTGTCATAGCAAAGTGTGGTGACAAAATTAGATGGAGCCTATCTATCATGAAAAATAGTGTCTGAGATCTTAAGGGCTTGTCTCAAAATGAGCAGCTATCTAAGTGAAGAGTCAGCTAAGCCCATACAGAAGAAGCACACTAGACTGTGTGATCCAAGGTTTACAAATAAGATTGAAACCTAGAGGAGGGAACGGTACCCATGCCTAAATTCTGAACACCTGGTTTGCATAAAGGTGGATGCAAACCTTTGGATGATAGCTGTAGCCTCCAATCCATTTACAGGGTCCCTGTGTAGACTGGGTCCCTGGTGAATCCCCAGTGCGGATAGGCTTAAGAACATTAATAGCCCTAATATCAGACAAAAATCATAGTGGATTTTAGCCACTGGATTGTAACACTGTGTCATTTAATCTCCCTCTGGACTCAAATGTGAATTTCTTCTAAATTTTTAATATTCTCTGCTTTCTCTTAGATTGAGTTCTTGACCTGTTTTATCAGGTCATGGTTGCTGCATCCTTGTTTATTATTTGCCATTGTTTTGTATGTTTATCTACATGCGGGATGGGTGAAATGACTACAATAGTAGCTGGATTGATGATTGCTTGGGGACACAGAAGGAGAGGGTGGGAGAAATGGGGAGTCAACCTCAGTGGGTTCAAGAAGAAAGCAAAGGTGCCAAAGTTGATTGTCGTGATGATAGCACAACCCTTCTTGATATGACTGAACTGTTGCATAGTAATATATGTTAATTATAGCTCGACAACAACAACAACAATTGTAAGTCCAGTCAAAACGTGGCTTCCAAGGCAACCTGCTGGCCCGCCCAGTCCAAGGTGGCGAGGTCAGCTCAGAAGGTTATGTTGTTGTTAGGTGCCAGCGTGGAGTCAGTTCCAAGTCTGGTCCTTCACCTTCACAATTGCTGCCCAAGCCCATTGTTGCGGCCACTGTGTCAATCCATCTCTTTGGAGGGCTTCCTCTTTTTCCACTGACCCCTCTACTTTAACAAGTACGACACCTTGTTCAGGGAGCGGGCTCTCCTAACACCACGTCTGAAGGTGAGGCAAAGTCCTGCCATCCTCACTTCTAAGGAGCATTCTGGTTGGACTTACTCCAAGACATTGTTTGTTTCTTTCTTTCTTCTGGCAGTCCGTGGTATTTTCCATATTATTTACTGACACCATAATTCAAATTCATCAAGTCTTTGGCACTGACCATCTGGTAGGGATTCAAAAGCATAATCCTGATAGATTGTTCTCCAAGAACACAGGGACATAATGAGAGCTTATTTGGTGACATTTTAAGAAAAAAATGAAGACGCGTTGGTGAGAAAAAGGCCAGGAAAGTTGTTCCAGAGAATTTGTTCCCATCATGGCAGTGCAGCTGCTCACTGCTGTGAGGGTTGGGTTAGGAAACCTTACTCCACTCACCCTGCAGCCCCCATCTTGCCTCTTTAGACTTCTTTTTGTTCCTCAAACTCAAAGAACATTTCAAACGAGCACAGGTTATCTTTTGAGGATGTCCAAACTATTGTTTTGACATAGTGTTATTCAGAGTGCAGATGTCTTTGGGGAAAGGTGCAGGGGTCTTCAAACTTTTTACACAGGGGGCCATTTCACTGTCGCTCAGACTCATTGGAGGGCCGGACTATAGTTTTAAAAAAAAACTATAAACAAATTCCTATGCACACTGCACATATCTTATTTTGAAGTAAAAAAACAAACTGGGCAAAAACACCCAGCAGGCTGGACAATGTTCTCCGCAGGCCACATGCGGCCCGCGGGCCATAGTTTGAGGACACCTGGGTTAGAGAGATGGGAGCACTTCCTTCAGAAATGTACAGACCTAGATGGAGAATGAAGGAACCCCTCTGGCACTATTGGACTGCTAGCCACAAAGTCAGGAGTTCATACCCAACAACTGCTTCTCAGGAGAAAGATGAGGCTGTCTGCTCCTATAAAGATTTGCAAAGCCTTGGAAACCCTGTATAGGATTGCTACGGACCAGAACATTGAATAAGGAAGACCGAAGAAGAATCTATGTGTTTGAATTGTGGTGCTGGTGAAGAATACTGGAAATACCATGGGCTGCCAAAAAGACAAACACGTCTGTCTTGGAAGAAGTGTGGCCAGAATACTCCTTAGGTGAGAGGATGCTGAGACTGAATCTCACACACTTTGGACATGTTGTCAGGAGAGACCGGTCTCTGGAGAAGGATATCATGGCTTCGTAAAGCAGAGGGGCAGCGGAAAAGAGGAAGGCCCTCAAGGAGATGGATTGACACAGTGGCTGCAGCATGGGCTCGAGCAGAGGCAAATGGTGAGGATGGCACAGGATGGGGGGTGTCTTATTCTGTTGTGCGTACGGTCGCTATGGGTCAGAGCTGACTTGACGGCCCCTACCAACCACAACAACATGAACCAGAACGGACTGCATGGCTTTGGGTTTGGTTTTGGGTTTTAGATGGAGAATATGTACAGAAACAATAGTTTCACATTTTGATATATTTATTTCAGGGCTTCACTGACTTTATAGCAATACCTATCTTTTTATAAGCTTTTTATCGTGAATTGGGTGAAGGCCTACAGGAAATCAATTTTCATTCAGCAATTCACATACATTAATTCATGTCCTTGATTACAATCCCCGCAATGTAACATCACGTATCCTACTTTCTCTCTGTGTATCCCATTTCCATTTCTCCTTCTTTCCGAATCCTGGACTTCCTTTGTGGGTAAATGCTGCTCTTTTGATCTCAAATGGTTAATTAGTCTAAGGTGTGTGGACTCCCCTAGAGTTACTGTTCCCCTTCTAGATCAATTATTTTGCTAAAGATTGACCCATGCGGGGGAGTTCAGTACCAGGCATGAAGAGTAACTAAAGGCCATAGTGTTGGGGATTCCACGAGTCTCTATTTGACCATGTGTTAGGCTGGGTTCTCTACAGAAGCAAAACGAGTGACCCTTGTATGGGTATGAGGATAGAAAAAGATTTATATCAAGAAATGACTCACTCAAAGAACAAAATATCATATCATTGTAAATGAGGGGGAGTGAAGAGTGGCAACCCAAAGCCCATCTGTAGGTAACGGGGCATCCCTTTACAGAAGGGTCTCGGAGAGGAGATGAGCCAGTCAGCGTGCAGTGTAGCAATGATGAAACATACAACTTTCCTCTAGTTCCTAAAAGCTTCCTCCCCACCATCATGATCCCAATTCTACCTTACAAATCCAGCTAGACCAGAGGGTGCGCACTGGTACAGATAGGAACTGGAAACACAGGGAATCCAGGACAGATGACCCCTTCAGGACCAATGGTGAGAGTGATGATACCTGGAGGGTAGAGGGAAGGTGGAGTAGAAAGGGGGAACCAATTATAAGGATCTACATATAACCTCCTCCCTGGGGGATGAACAACAGAAAAGTGGGTGAAGAGAGGGAGACATTGGACAGTGTAAGACATGACAAAATAATAATAATTTATAAATTATCAAGGGCTCCTAAGGGAGGGGGAGCTGGGAGGGAGGGGGGAAAATGAGCTGATATCAAGGGCTTAAGTGGAGAGCAAAAGTTTTGAGAATGATGAGGGCAACAAATATACAAATGTGGTCAACACAATGGATGTATGTTATAAGAGTTGTATGAGCCCCTAGTAAAATTATTTTTTTTAAAAAAAAGAAATGACTCACACAGCTGTAGACGTGGTAAGTCCAGTGTGGTTCCAATCCCTGGGTCAGACATAAACTAGAGGCTTCTCCGGATTCATGTAGCTGCAGGGGCTGGAAAACAGGAAGCAGGAAACCACAGGCTGGTAGATGTAGAGCTGAATGAATCTGGGGTCAGCCTAATGAATCCTAGGTCGGAAGTCTGCGGATGGCTTCTGGCATCAGCAGGCGATAAAACTGGAGGTCAACAAATCAGACGCAGGATCCAGAATCAGCAAAAGAAGTGTTATATTCCACATACTGTCTATCCAAACTGAATGAACTTCCTTAAATTGTATCAAGACTGTGACTAGATTAAGGAAAATGCTCTCCACTCCATTCTTCTCAAAACTACTTGGCTGCTGCTTCACAGAAGACCGCATCATGAAGCTGACCACACGATGTTAGATCACATCATGGCAGAATTCTGGCCTTCAACCTGTCACAGTCTGATTTTGGGGGGTCTTCTTATGATTTTGAGTTTTGTTCCAACTTTTTCTGCAAGTCTATCCAGGATCTTCTAAAGTGATCTCTTCCGAGTTGTGGTGGTAGTAGGGAGGCACCATCTAGTTCTTCTGGTCTCGGGATGGTGGAGGTGATGTTCAATTGTTCCCTTAGTCCATTAGACTACTTATTTCCATGCATCTTTGATTTTCTTCACTCTACTTCGCTCCAGATGGGGAGACAAGTTGCACCTTAGATGGCTGCTCATAAGCTTCTAACACTCCGGTCACTATTCACCAAAACAGTATGTTGAACACTGTCTATGCTTTGTGGACTATGCTAGGCCAATGACCTTAACGTCCCCTGAGACGATGGTCCTGAGCCCCCAACAGCAGCTCATCCCTTCAAGGGGTTTGTTTTATCTAATTTTTTCCTCCCTGTATGCTCCATCACATTCATGGATATATTTGTAGCATAGGTAAATACACATGTAGAAATATCCTTTGTTAACACTCTATGAGAGTATATTCATGAGTATACTACCATTCTCCCTCCCACACCCATTCCGCCTGCATATCTATCTATGCATTGCACTTGTAAATCACCATTATTGCAGGATTTGATACTTAACATTTACTTCTGTTGACATTGTATTGAACACCTCCCAGTGTCTTCCCCTGTCTCCAAAATTTTCTGCTGACTCCTTTTATCGTATTTTGCCTTCCCTTCATCCAGTATGTATCTACTCTCTACTAAGCAATTTACTCTCACGTCCCTTTTCATCTTTGATAACCATCAGGTGATACTACTTTTAGTGTAAAAACTTTTTCTTTACTTTTAATAATAGTGCTCTCTGTAATACTTGTTCTTTTGTGACTTATTTCACTCAGTTTCATGTCCTCCAGGCTCAGCCATGTTGTGAGGTGCTTCACAACATCCTGTAGTACTTCATTGTGTGTATGAGCACGAAGTTATTTCTCTTTGCTATTCTGAATAGTGCTGTGTTGAACATGGTTGTGCATGTATCTATTTGTGTCACAGCTCATATTTCCCTAGGATATATTCCAAAAAGTGAGATTTCTGGATCATACAGCATTTCTACTTTCAACCTTTTAAGGAGTCCTCATACTATTTTCCACAGTGATTGCACCATTTTACAACCCCATCATCAGTCTATGAGAGCCCCAGTCTCTTCATATTCTCACCAGCATTGGTTCATAACATCGTTTGCTATTAATACTGGGGTGAGATGCTATCTCTTTGATTTGATTTGCATCTTGCTACCAACTATTAATCATGAGGCTTTTTTATGTTTGTTGGCTGCCCGTGTCTTCTTTGGTAATGTGTCTGTTCTTGTCCTCTGCCCATTTCTAAATTGTATTATTTGGCTGTTAAAGTGTCAGTGTTTTCTACAAATTTTAGATTAGTGCCTTGCTCAATGCCCTTGCAAAAAATTTCCCCCTGGGAACCAACTACAGGGATCTACATATAACCCCCTCCTTGGGGGACGGACAACAGAAAAGTGTGTGAAGGGAGACATCAGTGTAAGACATGACAAAATAATAATTTATAAATTATCAAGGGTTCAGGAGGGAGCCGGGGTGGGGAGGAAGGGGGAAAATGAGGAGCTGATACCAAGGGCTCAAGTAGAAAGCAATTGTTTTGAGAATGATGATGGCAACAAATGTACAAATGTGCTTGACATAATGGACAGATGGATGGATGGTGATGAGTTGTAAGAGCCCCCAATAAAATGCTTTTAAAAAATTTCCCCCTAGGAGTGCAGTGGAACAGCAAGGGAATGGAGCAGCAAGGTCCCCAGGGAATGCTGAAGGCAGACTTTGGGGCCAGGGTGTGGTGCCCCAACAGACTGGACTGAAAACACTCCTAAAGGCCAACGATCCTTGAACTAACTACAAGCTTTTCTTTCTTGTTGTGTTTTAATTTGTTCTTTGTCAGTGGTTTGTTGTTG